AGCAATTAAACGACAATTGAAAGTGATATAATTATTACTAATCCTATGATGTTGTGATATTTTAATTTAAAATGCGAAAAATCTTCTAATATTATATTATATAAACAAGTAAGAAGGCTCCAGTCGAGACTGCTCGACTAGGAGATACCCTTAACCCTCCTAGCTGATATTCTACTCATTCTGCACTTCTTTTATGCACACATGCATACAAACGCACGTATAATCCCGCACTCTGCTGACTGCGCAGATGTGTGGGCAATATTATGAGAATTTATTTGTTGAATATTTCTTTCAGAGAGTGATCATATAGTTAGAATGTGTGTACATTCCAAAGCAAAGCAAGTCTCTAGTACTTTAAATACGTTTTTAATAAATTGAGGGCGAAGAGGGCGTGGTATCCAAAAGCTGTAAATTAAACAAGTAAGAAAGTATAAACGCGAATTGGCTGCAGTGTTGGCTTACTATGGGAAGTTAATTAAATAACTTTTTTTGTGGACATACGATCTTCATGATACTTACAGATTATGAATATAACATAGATATGCATGTATTTGCCAAAGCACAAGTCCCTAGTATTTGATATACGCCTTTTACAAATGTGTGGTTGAGGGGGTGAATTAGAGGCGGGGGGTAAATTTTGCCAAAACCCGAAATTGTATAAAATGCGTAAGTATACATATAAAATTTGGAGACTAGCTTTAAAGATGTAGGAGATATAAATTTATTACTGGGTTTCGATAATGTTTTTAATCGATAACAACATAAAGGGACAAGTTATCGATATTTAAAACAAAACTCGATATGCGCGTGCTGTACACGGACCTCAAGTCTCTAGCTCTTATATCTTCTGAGATCGACGCGTTCAAAAATACGGACAGACGGACAGAGCTAAATCGACTCCGATCGTCGCCCTGATTGAGAATATATATACCTGTTACATACATTTAACAAAACCATTATACCCTGATTTCCCATTTTCAATGTGTTCAGGGTATAAAAATATTGTATTAAATATTATAAAATGTATAAAGACAATAAATCTAAAGATTCTAGGTCTATTAGTATTGAAATTAAGCGATAAACTTGACAGTTACGTTACGGTAACTCCTTTCTTAGGATTGATAATATTTCTACCTACTATTGGCGTGGAAAATCCAAAGAAGTCGTATCCTCTACATTTTTACAGTTAGACGATCAAATTTCTGTTGATTTTCTTTACGAAAATTCATGTATATATGTATATGTGCTGCTGACGGCGTGCCAAATTGAGAGAATCAATATTATTCTGTGGATAAAAATCCATAATTTGACAGATTCCCTCCTGAAAGTAGCCAAAAATTATTCGTCTGTTGTTGAATATACTACGAAGTTTTAGTCGTAAACTAAATAATTACTACTTTTTACTGTCGACAAATTTGTACTTAGACCTTTCTTAACACTTCACTTAAAAAATAATTTATTGTTGGTATATATAAAATTGCTACATGTGTCTTATTATATGATCATTAAAAATTAACCATTATTATTTATCTTCTTTTTAGGCTTAACTCGGCCTGCTTTGTATCCCTTTGCTGCAACGCAATATCCTTATCCGATGCTAAGTCCCGATATGTCTCAAGTAGCTTCATGGTAAGTGGGAAAAATGATTAGTATTTCACTAATCTTATCTAATTGGCTACGTTCATTCTTGATAACTGCGATGCTATTAACTAATGCACTTCAATGAAACGTCCACCACGTGATCTACATGTTTTATTAAATATGCGGCATAAAAATAAATGCAAATCTTAATCATATTTGAAATGTATTAATTATGATTAATAATTTGGTTCGGTTTTATCTTTTTTAGGCACACACCATCTGTATACTCAGCATCTAGTTTTAGAACACCCTATCCATCATCGCTTCCAATTAATACAACGCTACCAAGGTGATTAGAAAATCAATTTCGAAATATAAATTACAGTTCAGAGCGAATTTATAAATTTTTGGACACTTTCAGCGATTTTCCATTTCGGTTCTCTCCGAGTCTGTTGCCTTCGGTTCATGCCACATCACATCACGTATTGAATTCCCATCCAGCGATTGGGGCATCCACGACAAAGCAGGATTGCGGCGTGCAGGATTCCACAACGAACAATCGATATTCGAGGTAAATTATACATACATATGTATTAATATATAATATACAGGGTTGTCTATATGCGACTGACCCATTTTCTTCTCTTTAAAATCAAAAATAACACATTTTTGTCTATGTTGACGATAATAATAATTTTAATTGGTTGAAGTAGATTTGTTAACATCACTTTTTGAAAAGGATATCTCTCAAATACCCGCCTTGAGAATTAACGGCGTATTGTGCAAGTTTTTCAGCATTTTCCATAGTTTTAACAGACATTTTGGCTGGAATAGCGGCTATTTTCTCACGAATGTTGTTCTTGAACTCTTCTGTGGTCTTTGGCTTATTAAGATAGGCCTTTGAGGAAACTGAAATTGGCCTTCGAACAATAATTGGCATCACGAAAGTGGTTATCATTGGCGTAAATACGGCGATTTAGCTTGTTTACCATCCCAATCAATAAGAAATGAATCATGGTAAAAATCTGTTTAGAATAAAGCTTCCAACGCGGTATGTTAATAAGCGATCTGGCATCTCTGTCAAAAGATATAAGGCCGCCAGATGGTGCTTTTCTTTTCACAATATCTTTACATATGATTATGTTGGATGTTTAAAAATAATTTTAAATATACCTATAGAGTATAAAGTATCAAATGAATATCAGATTCTTGTGTTTGAAAGTGTAATTATTTATTACGGAGTTTTGGTCATATATTGCTACGAATATTTATTGCTATTTTTTTTTCTTTCTTTAATATATACATATGTAAAATGTCTTTAAAACGGGTTTTGTTCATATATTATAATCTTCTATTGAGAGTTACACATGATCATTAAGCTTCTATAATTCTCGCTTATTGGGTGGGCACTTAATGGACGCCATATTTAATTTACACACAATCCACTTGAACATACATACACACACACGCACGCACGCACACAGGGACGCAGAATCACATACACATGCATACACTACAGAAATGAAAACTTTCCTATTGGCCCACTCCAATGCTCGCGTTTGCGCATTACTAAGCAACCCCTAAGGGGCTTTGCCCTCCACTGCCGTCTTCAAAAATTAAAAAATAAAATAAAAAAGAAGAGAAAGAATGAAGGAATGAACCGAAGTGGTTCAACAATTGCCTTAGATCCAATTTTATTTAAAATTCGATGTGTGATTTAGGCCACTGTCGATTGCAATTACAATTTTCTCCCTCTCTGTGAAGTGCTCCTTTATGAGACTATATTTTCATATTATTAGTTAATTTTTGTATTGATTCAATTGCTTGGATTCAAAAATAATTTGATAATAATAAAAATGTTATATTATTGGGAAATTTGTATCTTTCCCGTTTGTTTGCAAGGAAATAATGGTAATTCCTATCGAATCAGAAAACGTTTTTCGCCAACAGATGGCACCACTGTGTTTCTTTCTCAATAAACAGCTGCACAACTGTTCACAGAAGCGAACAGCAAGCACGACCCCAAACGATGGTAAATAGCTCAGAACTATCGCGTATCTGAGCTAACGCTGATTTAAATTCGTTCAATACTACTTTAAATACTCGCTTGGCGAATAAAAGCAGTGTTAAATATATAAAAATAAAATAAAAGATAACTTATTCATTATTATTTTTTTTTTTTACTATTTATCGCTTTTGCGTTATATACATAAACTAGGCGATCCTTCAATGATTGAAACAATTTATATATCGTGTAAATCGATATATATATAATAAATTATTTATTAATTATGACAATTTCAAAAGTGGTTGGGAAATACTTATGCAAGAAGTTGTAACCAATTCATAGTTGAGTTAAAAGTATAATTTTAAAATAAAAGAATCTATTAAATAACAATGTTCATAACTTCGATTAATAAATTAATTCTTTCAAATGTAAATTTCCATTATTAATATAATAAACAGTAAAATCGCGTCTTCTTTAATAATTACAGCCGCTCAGTTTATACTGAAGCTCTATTTCAGTTAAAGCATTTCAAAACATTGTTCAAGAGAAGAGAGAGGGCTAGAGAGCCTTTCTCTCTTCTTTCTCACCGCGCAAATATTTTGTGAATTGCCGCACACCAGGCTCTCTCTCTGTCTCACAAAGTCAGAGAGAGGCGAATAGTCGAATACAATTGCAAATTTTAGCTTAAAAGACACCGAAGGTCGGAAGTAATTCGTCAAAAATTGTTGGCCAGACAATTTAGTTAAAAAAAAAAGAAATCTGCAAAAATTAAAGACTCAAACTCTTGGAACACTTCACTATAAAAGGAACACATTACTATAAAAGGAACACATCCGTGTCACCATATCAAATATGTCCAGTGTCCAGTGTGCCAAAAACGAAACAAAAAAAAAAAGGGGGAAAAAATATTAAAAAATTACTAAACTCCTACATTTTGTATTTTGCTAGTGAGAATTAAATTTCCAATTCAGTCAAAGGAATCATGAGTGAATTTTAAGTGCGTCTCTTATAACGGAAAATGTATCTACATTCAATTACGAATTATATATATATGCTTAAGGCGATGGCCATAAATCAACCCAGTAATACATACATACATATCTACAAGTCAGTAAAAAGAGGGATACGAGAGAGATAGCTAGAGCTTTTTATTGTAATGGTATCAAAATAGTAAAATTTGAGAACCGATTAGAAAATTTCAATTGTAATTTAAACTATTTCTTTTTTATGAACATACACAGATATATGCATATATATACATATATATATATATATATATATATATATATATATATATATATATATATATATATATATATATATGTATATTTATATTTATTTATATATACTTATATATATATATGTATATATATAAATTATATGCAAGTTGGTCTAGTCAAAAATCCGCAACAGGCAGGCAATAGGGTTGTAGATAGTTTCGTTTAGTGCGCTTGTCCGCTTGCTCAGCTTGCTTCACTAGCGGCTGGGTGTTAAACACTGTGCAATACTCTGTATACGAGCAGCTAGATGCTCATTCTGGGCAGCGTCATTTAAATGATGGAATTGTGTTTGATTACCCAGACACCCATACACCCAGTTATGTTGCAGAATGAATATGCTCGTTTTTCGTTTGTTACTAATGCATCAAAAGCTATAAATGTTTGTATGCTCAGGAGAGAGCTTTTCGAGAGCAAAACATCCACGTGAGAGTAACATATTATTGCTATGAATACTTGTCCTTTAGTTTCTCTCCCTGAAAGAGTTAGAGGAGTAAATTTTGAGTCTGGTGTAGGTCAAGAACAAAAAATAAAATCATAAAAATACAATCATTGTTCGAATTTCCATAAATGCTCACACATGTATGGAAAAGTGAGCAGTTATCCGCTTTTGTAGAGAAATAAGTACCAGAATAAGATACGAAAATAATAATTAAAAACTTAATGATGATAGATGTCGAGAGAATAGGGGAGCTATCATTTAAAATATATGCGCAACGCATTTTCTGAGTGCCATTAGAATCCAAGTTAAATTTTAAATAAGGCCATATATAAACAGAAATCGAGCTCGAATTTGAACGAAGCCCAAAAAATAAGAATTCAATAAAACAAGTATGCGAATCTAAATGCCGGAGTTGTTAATATCGGCCGTGCGAATAACGAGAGTGGACGAGGGCTGAAAATGAGTGAAAGTAATAAATAGTGAGAAACTCGAAGACGCACTGTTTGAGTCTTTGTTACCTTGTATACGATGAAGGATTCCAGAGGCGGATTATCTCCGACTAAAGAGATAACTAGCAACACGTATAGGCAAGCAGTGCAATTTAATGGCAACGCAGTGCCCGATGAAAATAAGGAGCCAAAGGAGTTTTCCATGCCGATTGGCAATATGATAAACGATTCGATCTCACAATCATCTTCAACAACATCGTCATCGTCATCATCATCTTCAACATCAACGTCAACAACGTCAACTCAGCCGCATGGCGAGCTATTGCCGAAAGCCAACTCTGAATCAGTGGAGCATATTTTCAATGCACCAACGTCAAGTAATGCTGTCCCTGTATTGCCAACGACAGCAACAAACAATTTGATGTCTGAAATTTTGTTGAGACAACAGCAACATGATATGCTTCAGCATTGGTCCAAAATGGAGGAGCGAGATCAGTTAGAGGGCAGTTGCAATAATCGTGATTTAATATTGGCTCATTGCATATACAATAGAAATAAATCGACACAAAGGCAGCAGCAGCAACAACAACAACAACAACAACAACAACAACAACAACAACAACAACAATTGCTAGCAACACAATTACTATATGCACAATTTTTGCAACAGCCTCATTTGTCCTTGGATGTTCATCAGGAGCTCCAGCGAGAGCGTAGGCTAAAAATTTTTGAATATTCGGGTTTAACGAAATCGGAGCCAAAAGCTATCCCATTAGCAACGCCATTGCCATTGCCATTGTCAACGGCAATATCGCATGACAACAATAACAATAATCGAAATGGAGTCGTTGAGCAACGGGGCAGCAAATGTAAGTCAGGCAAGCGAAGGTCATCACGAAACAGCGCAAGCGATTCAACGGTTTATTTTTTTCGAGAACAGAAGAATGTGTTGTTCGATGTCAAGAAGGGACTAGAGCAGCTGACATTACTTTGCAGTCAATTTCAGCTAAGTCTCATGCCACCATCATCGACGGCACAGACCGCTATTGATGAGGACAACAACAACACAGCAACCAGCGCGTCTGCCGTGTCACTTGAGCTAACCGTGCAGCGCGAGTTAGAGAGCAATCGAATGAAGATCGATGGCATGCTGAGTCAAGTGCGTAAGCTCTATCATCAGTGGAGCAGTGCCGAGCTCTACTATCTACGCAGTCTGCAGCGCTTGGGCCTGCACCCGGATAGCAAAACGATAAACAGCAGCCAGTCGCCAACGCACAATGTGATGGCTTTGGCTGCGATTGCGTTATCAGCTGAGTGTGATACAGCGTCAAATAGCAAAGCCGATGTAGAGAGCATCCACAAGCAGGAGAACTGCAACAGTAAGCCTGAGACAATTTCGTCGGAGAATCGGCGTACGCTACAAGATATTGAAAATATTATTATACAGCAAGCAGCCGCATCCGCAGCAACTGCAGCAGCTGGCACAACCCAACAAACAAAGCTATCCGATTCCAGATACGAGAGTGCCGAAAGCAGCAACAGCGACGACGATGACGAACTCGATGAAGATTGTTCATCCTCACCTGCTTGTATCTGGCACTCGAAGCACAACGCGAACCCGGCTGAGGCAAATATTGTTGATGCAGCCGAAATACTGTTAGAGTATACCTCGCTGTCAACAGTGCAGGCCAAAATGAATGCCCGAATTGATGCTGCGCCTGCGTCTACTCCTGCAACTTCAACTGCTTCTCTTTCGAATACCTCCGTCTTAAATCTAACGCCCATTAGCCAGCGCGGCTCGCTCATTCGAGAGTCAATGTCAAGCTGCGGCAGCGATCCAGCCTATTTGGCCGACATACAATTCCCACCCACACCAGCCACGCCGCCGACCAGCAGTAATAGCAGCTGTTCAACAGTCACTGGAGGACCACTTCCACTCAAGTGCTCGAGTGCCACTCTGGCACCGGCTACTACTAGTAGCAGTAGCAATAGTGCCAAATACCATCATCGGCGCAAGTCACGCTATGCACGCCGCATTGCAACTCCTACCAGTCAGTTGGACTATCAGTCAAGCAAAGAGTTGAATGGTAACGCGTATCAAGTCAGTTCCCCATCAATGGCTTCATCTGTTGCATCATCCGCCACATCTTTACCTCCGGGGTCATCGGCGGCAGCAATAGCAGCAGCAGCCCTTCAGGATAGGCATTCGCCAGCAGCAGCTGTTGCAGCTGTTACAGCTATGCAGGAAAGAGCCCTAAGCGATATGTTTAAGGCACAGTTTGACGCTCTTACTTCGGCTGCTGGAGCTGGAGCTGGATCTCGGAATGGAGGTATAATTGGAGCGGGGACTGGTCCAGTTGGAGCTTCATCGGAAGGTGTGCTAAATGAAAACTGTGATGGGTTATCCACTATGCCTATGTCTGATGCGCCCTACGATTTAAGCATTGGAAACAGGCTAAACAAAATGTAAATTTCTTTCATAAATATTTTGAAAATGTTGTATACTCATTCACGAAAGTGAAATGAGTATATTGGTTTTGTGCAATGTCCGTCTTGTCTGTCCGTATTAACGCAGTTTTCGGCGTTATTAAAGCTAAAGACTGGAAATTTGGAACACATACTCGTGTATATCTCGATACATAAAGTGTTAATTTTTTCCCGATCCGTCCACTAAGGGAAGATAAAAAAATAATGAAAAAATTATAGGTCTATAGTGATTTTTCAAAATCTGCTAGAAAATTATAGAGACCTGAAATATGATATATCTACTCGGGCTGACCACCCAAGAACAAAAAGTTATGTCGGATATATGTCCACCCACAGGGGGTGTTTTTTTACGGTTTTATGAAAATTCATTGAAATCACAAAAGTTGTTAACAAGTTAAATGGCCAATATCCATCATCATTCATGAAGTGAAGTGTCCGCACTTTAATGAAAGCTTTTAAGTAGGAGTCAGTATTAGTTAGTTTAAAAAGGCAGAGATTTTGGCATACGGGTACACCAACACCTCTTACATCTCTGTGTCAAATACTGAGAAATAGGTATTCATCGCTGTCCAAGCGTAAAATAAATGCGATATCATTTCCTTGGTCGAGCAGTCTTGCCTCACTCTTACCTGAATTAGTTCACAGGTTGGCTTAGTTGTAATGAAAAAAAGAAGAGCACATACATACGTTTTATTTAGGTATAGTAATCGGTTCGACTATAGTATAAGAGTTACTGAACTAGTCGCTTTAAAATGATATGGCTCTAAAACTATTATTATGCTTATATATTATGTTTTCTTATGTGGTTCCGGTTATCATGAATGAGAAAATATACATATTTAATATTGTTTTCTCTACAAATCCGAACCTAATTTCTATTATTTATCTAATTGATTAAAAATAATAGTTTCGTTTTTTATTTTCAGAAACTTGGATACGAAAGGATCCTCAAATTCGCAAGCTAACGACTGTAAAGATAGTTCAAATGATAAAAAAAAACCACATATCAAGAAACCATTAAATGCATTTATGCTATATATGAAGGAAATGCGAGCCAAAGTAGTCGCCGAATGTACACTCAAAGAGTCAGCGGCGATAAATCAAATATTGGGTCGGCGGGTAAGCTATCTATCTCTCGCTCTCTCTTTTTTTTTTTTTTTTTTTTTTTTATTTATAATGATAATAAATTCAAAGTTTGATAGATAAATGCAGCGTTATGGGGGTTTACTCTAAATTCTAAATAATAATAATAATAAACAATACTCAAAATATCATCATTTGTATACATAACAATACACGAATGTATTATTCGACTTCTGAGAGTATTGTAAAGACGTTTATAATTAGATTTATAGATACTTGGGATACTGCGAAATCCTTACGGATATTTTATCGTTGAATGATAAGTACACTCACTGACTAAATCACTGACTGACTGTATTATGTTTAGAATTGACTATGTATTTCGATATATATATTTACTTAACTGACTGTCCATAGATAATATCACAGATTAAATACATTGAATAATACATATCAAGAGAAGTAGAACATGAAATTAAATTTTAACATTAATGGAATACATTTTTGTAGTGGCACGAACTTTCCCGCGAAGAACAAAGCAAATATTATGAAAAAGCGCGACAAGAGCGCCAATTACATATGGAATTGTATCCAGGTTGGAGCGCTAGAGATAACTACGGTTACGTTTCAAAAAAGAAAAAGCGTAAAAAAGACAGATCGACTTCGGATTCGGGAGGTATTGCACAAAATTGTCAAATTTCTAACACTAAATATATTTTCTTTCTTTCTACTCTAACCGCATTCAAATTCTCCTTCTTTTTGTGTTTGCAAAATTTCATTAAACCACACATACACATACATACACATGCATACGTACACAAACACAAACAAATATAATATAAAAAAAAAATAATAATAATAATAAGCACACATTTAATATCAGCTACTAACCGTACTTCTAAACCCAAAACTAGAACTAACAAAAAATAATAATAATAATAATCACACGTACCTCAACTTTATTTATGTAATTTGTGTAAATACGTAGAATAAATACTAATTGTAAAGCGCATAAAAAAAAAAACTATAAGAAAGCAATTAAATGATCTGAAAATAAAATCTTTGAATAGTACAGCAGAAGTTTTAGTTAGAGTCGTAGAGTAGAGCTATATAAATAGATATGTTTATGTTTCAAGCAGAATGGTAAACCTTATTTATAAACCAAAAGTACTGGAAAATCAAATAAAAAGTAAATATATATTTGACCCGAGCTTCGGTAGAGCGTAGCTATGCTTGTCCAAATCTTTTTTTTTTTTTGTTCTTTGTTTATATATATATATATATGAATATTGTCCACCTTTGGATTGCATTATTGCTTAAGATGACATTTAAGGCAGAAATGATATATATATATATATACATGATATATGATATGATATGATACATACACATATGTATAAAAAGAATCATCAAAAGATTAGAAAAAGTCCAGATACTGTCAAACTTTTTAAAGTCTTAGCATATTTGAGTACACATCGATAATAAAGGATAATGGAGAATGAATACTGTCTAAAGGATCATGAATAATGGTTAATGGACAATGGATAACGGATAATGGATTGTTATGTGTATATGGTTCATAAATGAAATATTTTGTATACAATATTTTGTATGTATTCGAAAAACTGTTGAACAGATAGCGGGAAATACAAGGGATAGGAAATGAGTAAGAAAAAGAGCGAGGTAAAATGTTTTATACCCGCAGTCGGCTGTACACATATCCGGGTCTGCAGGATTATGAATCTACCTTTGTGATTCAATTGGCAAAATAATACACTTGACACAAACACTACATACCTATCTGTGAATTATCGAATTATTCAATTGGCAAGCTGAATCGAAAAAATCTAAATAACTGAACAAGACGTTGATGAAGAAGAACAAATTTCATTTTATTTAATGCTTTCATTTCCAAGGATTCCTGATGAAAAAAAAAAAAAAAAAAAAAAAAAATATATATATATATATATATATATATATATATATATATATATGTCTTTACGTGTGTGAACTCAAATTGGCGAGAATTGCATGCACCCGAAACCGTCTACAAGATCGATCCGTCATAAGCTTTTGAAAGATTTGCGCCGTATGTACAGATAAATATATATATTTGATTCATTGGCGGGTGCAAAAAATGATAAATATTAAGAATAACTATAGCATATAAACAATAAATTAGAATCAACAATTGATTAATGTATATCTTTGCATATATTATCTCTCTTTATTTTTCATCATTATTCATTTGCGCATATCGCAATAAAATTTTAAACAAACAATAATTTCCAAACAATATCAAATCTGATTGTCCACTTGTGTGCATGCATACAATATAAAAATGAACAAATTTGGAATATTTAAAAAACTTTGTATATATATATATATATATGTATATATATATATAATATATATAATTTTTTTTATATGCACACGATTGCACACAACAACAATTAATACACCCCACTATATATATATATGTATATATATATATATATATACCACGCCCCCACCTCATTCAGTGGCATGCCTTGGGGCGTGAGGAGCAGGCGAAATATTACGAGCTAGCTAGAAGGGAACGTCAACTGCATATGCAAATGTATCCCGATTGGAGCTCGCGAACGAATGCATCGCGAGGCAAGAAAAGGAAACGGAAACAAGATGCTAACAGCGATGCAGGAGGTTAGATACAACAATTTTTATCTTAAAACAAATGTACTTTTTCATATATGCCAAAAATAAAAAAAAAAAAAAAAAAAGAAAGTGAAACTCAAAGAAATAAACAAAAATACAAATAGACTTATCGTAATCGCTCAGAACATATATATATATATATATATATATATATATATATATATATATAGATATATAGATATATATATATATATATATATATATATATAGATATATAGATATATATATATATATATCTGTTGCAATTGGATCTTGGCTGCAGAGCACATTGGTAATTGAAAACAAAAAAGGATTTGTAAATCAATGTAGGAATTTGTAAATACGATTTGGACTTGGCAACTATACTTTGTGATAATTCAGCTTAACAACGACACACACTTATCATTCATATCATCTAATCCAATATGTATATGTATATGTAGATTAAAATGTATGTATGCATGTATGTACGTCTGCTTACCCATAGATATTAATTTTCTTTGTAAACGTTTGACATTTATCAATTTTATAGATATCATTCATATAGCCAAATTTTACTTCACAGATTATGTTCTGATACTCAAAAATAGCTTGCATACATATGTACATGAGAAATTATTTAAGAAATAAATTCTCATACTACTACCCACACTGTAGCCCAAGCGCAGTCGCTACTTACTGCGCAGTTAGCAGTAAGTAGCGACTGCTACTGCAGTTACCTTTATATTCGTGGTCGCTAAATAGCTGACCATATAAAAGTATAAGCTTAAAATTGTATCTTCAACCTATTATAAACCGGGAGTCTAGATACAACTTTTCTCCCGTCCCTAAAATTTCGAACCAGAATCGACGCATAAGTTTGCAAATATATTTACATATTCCATAGAATATTTAACACAAAAGCAAAAATTTGTTAAAATCGGAGCATGTTATTTTTCCTTAAATTTGGACCCGGCTCTTCATATATATATATGAAAAATATAAAGATATATAAATATAGAAAAAAGAAACGTGTTTCATTTGAATGACTAATTTAATAATCTATAGTCGATTTCAAAAGAGTTATAATTAAAAATGTATGTACAATTTATTTATTTATTTATATTTATACTCATATACCTTTATATTTTTTTTCGTATTACTTTTAACTAGCTTTGTGAACAATAATTGTTTATTGCCTCCTTTTATATATAACTAATAAAAAATTAAAAGGTTATTAATATAAAGTAAATTCAAGGCATGGCATAAGTATTTTGACAAATTTTTTGAGTAAGAGTTTTGAGCAGTTGGCCGCCGAACCACTTTTGTATTTATTTTACAAGAGCTAAGACCGAAACAAGCCGCACCTTAAAATAACTCAAGCTTAAAGGGGTGCACAAGCAAAAGGAGTTCTGGTGAAGCGTTTTCTGGCCGGAGAGAAGCTAATATGAATGCTACCCATGTATTGTTTTTTGTAATAAATCACAAAGTCAGATTCTTAAAGAGGTATGAGGCGTCATGTATTATACGACATATGCCTTGATGTCTTTATTTATTGTTTAGTTCAAGTATTATATTCTTATATATTGAAAATTTGGAAGTTTCTATGAATTGTGTGTGAAATGAAAAATAATCAGGAATTCTTCATAAAGCCATTTAAAAGTTAATTTACATTTATTATCGTATAATATTCTTCATTAAGAGAATAGCTTTTTGTTGTAATAGAAATTGATTGCGTAGAATTAAAATCATTAGTGATTCTTTTAGTTTCGAAACTCTAAATTAAATAAATAGCGATGAAGCTTATGCTTAAACATTTTTTTGATTCTTTGCTTATTTCGTATTAATCATAGTGCTGATGTCTCCCTTTAATTGAATGCTTTAACTACCTTAAATTTGCTCTCCAACTAAAAAACTTGACTTCACGCACAACTGAATTGAACTCACCTTAATATGAATGTCTTAAATTCTGCTAAAACAAACTTAATATATTCTTTCCTAGGCAACAATATGAAAAAGTGTCGAGCACGCTTTGGACTGGATCAGCAGAATCAGTGGTGCAAGCCCTGCAGGTACGTTGAAAACAGATGATCTTGTAAATTGACAGCTTGCTAAATCCACATTACATTATGGCGTTTATCAATCAGGGATTCGCCAACTCTCTTTATAAGATTGCAATTAGTCGTCCATGAAAACGGGAACGAATCAATCAGTGCTGCCAAATTAGCCTTATTGTTTTTTTCTCTCTCTCTCTCTCATTTCTTTTTGTAAGGATCCTATTCGAATTCAGAATATCAATATTTGTTATTTGAATTGATTAGAAAGCGATTGTTCTAGGACAATATTAAATTCGAAAATTGGGATCTGTATTTGCATGCTATATTTTTAGAATGTTTCATATATTAGTTTCGCGTAGATTACGTATGTATAATTCAGTGTGGATCTAAAATTTTAAGAGTTATGTATACATTCGTACATAGGTATATGCATATTTGAGATGTGGCTTCGTATAGCTGGTTCTCAATAAATCAATTAATCAAAAGGCATTTGATGATCATCTGGAATTTGATTTCCTCAAGTAATCTCTAGCTCTTATATATATATATATAAGGGCAATTCCCTAGTGACGTATATGTCTCGTACGTATGTTAAGCAAACAAGTAAAAAGACACAATCGAGAGTGCTCGACTGGGAGATACCCTCCATGCTGATATTCTACTCATTCTGCACTCCTTTTATGCACACATGCGTACACACGCATCCACACGCACGTATATCACGCGCTCTGCTGACTGCGCAGTTAGCAGCGACTGCGTTGAATAATTTCTTTTGTAAACATACTTAATGAAACTTTCAAAGCGTAATCATATAGTTAAATAGTGTGTACATTCCAAAGCACAAGCCTCCAGTACTTGAAATGCGTTTTTTACAAATTGGTGGCGAAGGGGGCGTGGTATCCAAAATCTGTAAATTACAAAATCTTTGTATACATTAACTTTATATACAACGCAAATTTGAAGCCTGGAGGTCTAAAAGTGTTCAAATTAGTCTGAAAAAACAAAGTCGACCTTTCGATTATTCTCGATAAAAAAGTTATCGGGCGAGGTATCGAAAAAGTAAGATAAACTTGTACTGCCTATGGTATACACGAGTATGCATGCCAAATTTCAGCTCTCTAGCTCTTATATCTTCTGAGATCGACGCACTCATACTGACGGACACACCGACGGACAGGGCTATATCGACTCAGCTCGTCGCCCTGATCAAGAATATATATACTTTATGGGGTCTGCGATGATTCCTTCTGCCTGTTACATACTTTTCACAAAACCAATATAATCTGATTTCCCATTTTCCATGGGTTCAGGGTATAAAAATATGTTAGCAGAACATGCCTTTCTGGAGAATTGCCCATATGCATATATGCCATGCGAAAAATATAATTAATAGCGTTGCCTTTGGGGGAATAAAATTAGACATATTAAGTGAAATGTGAAGAGAGAGAAGAGAAGAGAACAAGAGATAGACAGGGAAAGAAAAAAAGAAGAAAGATAAAGAAAATGAGAGAGAAAATGGACATCCTTTTCTCTCTCATTTTCGGGAAGAATAAGAAGCGAGCGAAAAAGTAATATAAAATATATAATATATATGCATATATAAAAAAAGAGTAGAATCCTTGACAAGTAAAAAATGTACATATCATATGCTTGTACGTAAGGAGCTTAACGGCTAAACAAAAAAATTTGTCACAAATTGAAAATACCCACATCCACTATTCATATTAGTACTATAAGCTATCTCACGGTATTCAACATTCACATACGAGCATAAACACCTAAACACACATACATATTATTGTATGGGATTGCGATTCTCGTTAGTACGTTATACTAATATCGACCTTAAAGTAAAATAAAGATGATCGAAATTATATGAAATGTATTTGCATGCAAATTATTGCTCTACTTTGACCTGCCTGCACCTGGCTCAGATGCTAAAGATATTTTTATTTATCCATTTAGAAATTGACCAACTAGAAATAGGCAGATCCTTCAGTCCATCAGCACTTACCTGAGACAGTTTGCGGAATCAGAAAATCGTTAAAAACGAAAAACGAAGGAGAGAGGCAGAAGGAGATATTCTAAGAGATATACAAATAGACATGCTAAGAATTATTATATTACAGATATGTATATACTGTGATACTGTGATATACTTACTTAGTTTGCAGAGTAATTTGATATGTTGTTTCCCTTAATTTGATTAGGAGAAGGGGGTGTGGCAGCGATGCAATGTTCGTATTTCTGTATGTATTGTATATATGTGCTGTTTATATGATTTTGTTTTGCTATATTTTTATACAATTCTGGATACCGACTTTAAATTTCAAATTTAAGTTCAAAGCTTTACTTTTCACTAAATATACAGATGAAAAAACCAATATACAATACGTATTTGTTTCAAATGTTTTGAAATCCGTTGATAACACAGGATATGTTAAAAAAAAAACGTCAGTTGGCCACTTGCCAAGCAGCTCCTATTTCACATTTACGTGTGCGTATATTTAAACAAAGTATATATTTATTTCGGTAACACCGCCAGTACAAGTCTACAACGAAAAAGGATAAAAAAGAAAGATACAAGAAAACTCTTCAGTCTACGCACCGAGTTCCATGTACACACATTCGTTTAGAAAGCGCTTGCATGCTGGAATTGGTTGTATGTGCATACACGTCCACCTGCGTGTGCTGATTGGCCAATCAATTTGCATATTAATTCGGCAGTTTCTGTAATTTAAACATACTTTCAGCACGGAATTTACATATTCTATCCATTTGTTTTATTTTTTGACAAAATCAACTCATTCTCGACTAGCTATATTTTTTGTATCTGACCTTCAAATAATAATTTGATGAAATTTGGGGCGGTATCCAAAATATAAAAATATGTACAAGAAATACACATTGTATAATATATATAAGCAAGATGAAAGAGGTACATTATCATAATTGATTTCTGAGGTTTTTGGATAACATTAACCATTTTGTCAACCAAACTACGGCTATGTAAAGGGCTAAAAAAAAAATCAAGTCAAGCAGATAGTTCGACTATTATCATTTTCCATTTTCAAAAGAGTATTATTATGAAAAGTAAATTTGTTTAAGGTGAGAAATCGATTTCCTTAGCATGTCCGTCCGATCGATTTCCAAGGACGTCACATTTTAGATACTAGCACTGCTATCTACTCTTTTACTTTATATTAATATAAATATACATATTACAAACGACTTATCAGAAATTATTATTATTAGTACAATTAATTACCTTGCCTTTTTTTTTTTAATTTGAAGCTTATGCAAGTTCGAAAATTCATTTTTGTTTGTTTATTATTTTTTTACATTATTTTTACTTGCAATACATAAAACAACAAAGAACGAGAACAATGAGAAAATACAATACAATTATAATAGCGCATCCTTTAAGTTTGAATACTTTCAAAGGCTATGGTCCTAGAGGTTTCTTCTTTTAGACTATTCTATTGGTTTTGTTATTTTTAATCGAAATACAATTTTTAAATGGATGTCTTTAAAGGCTATTAAAACTGATTGTTACAAATTTGGTTTCATAGCGCATTCCAATTCAATTGAAAATGTGTATCTCTCAATTGATTTTGGATGTCATAAAATTTATTATTGAGAGGGAAATAACTACAGAAAGATATATATCTTTGGAAGAAATCAAAGATGAACCCTTATTCCCTGAGAATTACGAATGCTGCTGAAAAACTTCATTCAAATAATAAAATAAACAATCAATAATATGATTTACTTGTATGGTTAGTTTGTATGCGTAATAAAAGTAAATGTTGTGAAACATTAACTCATTTTTGCTGGCTACTATATATAGTGGTCGGCATAAGTTCAATTCGTATACGTCACGCACACTCGAAATTTGATGAATTTGATATCATGTGCCGAAAGCATTCCAAGCAGAGTTCTCATTTTATGTTGAAAAAATATTATAGTTTGTTTAGAAAAATGTAAATCAAATAGTTTTTTTCTTCATTATTTCTTTTGATTGAAATCAGTTTGAACTATTCTGAATTCTACTCAAAATTTCGCTTTAAGCATAGCAGCCTGATCGCTTGGGCGACGCGCCTCTGTTGACAAAGGGCGTTAGTTATTCAGCAATTGGGTCTATTGTTTCTGATAAACTATTTTAAATCAGAAAAGCCTACAAAAGAAGTTCTTGGGCTCAATAAAGAAAATCTCCCCTGTTTTGCAGGTCTATCCCCAGTGGTCGAGTGGAATGTAATAGCTTTAATTTTTGAATTTTCGTTTGTGGCATTACTAAACAATTTTCAAACGCACACAAACACACATACACAAATCACACAACTATATATGTATATATATCTAAAGATAGAGATTTTGGAATTTTGAATCGTGTTTAAAAAAATATTTTACGAAATACAATTATCGTTCTTTTCCAATATTCAAATTGCTTGGATCACTTATATACATATATAAATCAGTCCCAACGTCGGGTTGGGGATCAACAGCAGCGTGGGCGTCGGCCTTGTCAGTAGTGGGCCAGGCGTGAATAGCATAAGTGTCGGCATGCTGACGCCGGCCATGGTAGGTGCGACAACAGTTATGCTGCCCAACTCGTCATCGAGTTCATCATCCTCGTCGACGTCGTCCTCCCACACACACCTGCAAATGATGTCTAATAGCAATGGAAATAATGGAACCGTGACATCTATAAATGGGTCAGCCGGTGGTTCAGGTGGTCAAGGTGGTGGTGCTGGTGCTGGTGCTGGTGGTGCGAATGGCACTTCCTCAAGTACTCAACAGCTTTCACCTCAGGCACCGCCAACCTATGTTAATTTGTAAATAAACTAACCCACGCAACACATCCACCGGAACAACATCGAACAAATAAATGTCCACGACAGTCCGAGTAAAACAGAGGCAGGTTTACGACTACGACTCTGCTAAAATGCCAGTAAATAAACAGTATATATCTTTGTACATATATAAATTAACAGAATGCAAATTGGCGTTAACTAATTTTACAAATTAAATATATATTTGAATTATGTATAACTATATATAGAATATATATATGTTTCCATTTTGTTTTGCTAGAGCTGTTTGTTGCTATTGTTGTTGTTGTCGTTGTTGCTGCTGTTGTTATTGTTGTTGTTGATGATGATGATGATGTTGTTGGTGTTGCAATGCTGTAATACTTTTTTCATTATCATTGTTGTTATTTGTTGTGAATATACTCCGATTTTTTTTTTTTTTTTTTTTTTTGAATGTCAGTTAATTCGATTGCAATGTTTTTTTGCTCGTTTTTTTCTTTTGGTTGCTTTTTTTCGTATTTTTTGTATTGTCGTTGCTTTCCTAATAGGAAAGTGGAATTTTCGTGCTATACTTTTTTTGTATTTACACAAGATTTACCATTATATTTTAAATGAAGCCTGGATGATAACGCTTGTTTTATAAGGAAACGCATTTGACTTCAAATTATGTTCCGGTTAATAAGGTGGTCTTAAAACTTTTTACAGACAAGTTCTTAGTTTTGATTCAACACTGGAATACCTTTATGTATGACCAATACGTATACACATTGCAACATATTAATAATGTGGAATACAAATAATGTACAAGTATTCATGAAATACAAATTGAATAATTCCTTTCTAAGTCGCAATTACACAATTACTTTTATGTCTGCATGCAGTAAACGCGCATAATATGCTTGTAATTGCTTTAACGTGATGTCAATTTTGAATTGAATTACTAAAAGAAGTTGATTTTGCAGTGTTTATAGATATAGATATTACATATATAGATCAAATAATATACATTCAATACAAACGGTAATGTTTTATGTAAATAAAAAAATTAGCTTTAATATAATTTTGTGCGCTCCCTTAAGTACATAAAGCATTATTTTTATCGGTTTCATTCCTGAGAAATGTTAAGAATTAATTTTTTCTGTATGTATTTTCATTTGTCCAACTAAAAAACTTAAAATTATAACTTCTAATATAATATCAAATCTCAAAGGATCAAATACAAAGCGAAATATTCTATAAATAATAAAAATATAAAACAAAAAAAAAAACATAATACTATGTTAAGCAATAAAAGTCAAATAATATTATGAATGCTTATTGAAGTATTTTAATTATTCACTTCAATATTATAACAGCATATTTATCACACATGAAGAAAATTAATAGGGATATCAGTGAATTATCAGCTTCAATATTGCTTAATTTAAAAAATGGTAGCGATAACATAAATGATTTATATTCAGTTGTCTTGAATAATATTTAACAACATTAAAGAAATTTATAGAAAATTATCAATTAAAAATGTAATGCACATAAGAAACATGTATTTAAATTAAATTTCAAATTGAATTAAAAATTTCAGTGAAAATCGATTCGATTTCAATTTAATTCATTTGAACGAAAATCATATATATATATATATATATATATATATATATGTGTATATATATATTTATTTATTTATTTATATCATACATATATTGCATGAATTCTTTTATTTTTATTATTTAAATTTTTTCTGCATCTCTGTTGTGGAATGCCCTTCATATTGTAATAGCTAAAGCAGATATTAGCAATGCTTTCAATGCAGTTTAGTTTCTGTAATCAACTAATAATAGTTCTCCTTTTCTACCACTCTTTGATTGTACAGACGCAAAAAGAAATGCATTCGCTATATGGAGGCACTGCATGGAGACGGCCATGAGGAAGGCAGCGGCATGGACGACACTGGAAATCTGAGCCAGCTGAGCGATGATGATGACGATGACGATGAGGACCTACTGGTGAGCGGTGGCGCCGGAATGGGAAGCTCGGGTAGCGGCGATGAAATGATCGATATGAATCAGGATAAGCTCGCCGACAATGAGGACACTGAGTCAATGAGTCAATCGCTGTCAAGTCCCGGATGTCTGAGCGGGCTCTCCAGCCTACAGAGTCCGTCAACGACGACGAGCTTGGCCAGTCCACTTAATATGAATATGTTAACTAGTCCAATGACGCCCGTCATCAACACCACCACCAACACGAGCAACAACAATAGCAATGCTGGTCCACTTTCTGTTATCAACAGCAGTAGTACGGAGCAACAGACGGCGTCGGCGAGCAGTCAGTTGTTAATATCTGCGTCTGGATCTGGATCTATATCCGGTTCCGGTACAGGTACAGGTACAGGTTCAGGTTTAGGTTCCGGTACAGGTTCAGGTTTAGGTTCAGTCTCCAGTTGCAGTATCGGCTCAACATGTAGCATTAGTAACAGCACACCGAATACCTCTAGCACTGTTTCATCATCGATTGCTGCGACACCGAACGCTGCTAATGAGCGCGCCATGATGCTTCGCAACCGGTTCAGCCATCTAGGCATGGGCCTGAATCCGGATCAACTTTTCCCAGCTGTATCTGCAACTGTCAGCAGCAGCCCCAGTACTATTACAGCTATCTCTTTGGCAACGAATAGCTTCAACTGTTACAGTAACGCGGGCATGAAGGCAACGTCGGTGACGATTGCTGCTGCTACACCTGCGTCAGTATCGGTATCGGGACCCATATCGGTATCGGCACCAGCGTCTACACCTCCATCGCTACCTGCAATAAGCCTACATCGCAATCCGATTGGCGCCAATCCGCGTGACATTAACAATCCTCTAAGCATCAATCAACTGACTAAGCGCCGCGAGGACAACAATGTTGCACTGCTCGAAACTCAATCGGTCTCAGCGGCTTTGGCTCACAATCCTTACACGCACTCACATTCGCCACATCCACACCCACAGCCACACTCACAGCCACCACCACTTACCCACCCGCATCTACACCCGCATGCGGACCAGCACCCGCACCCTCATCCACATCCACATCCACATCCACATCATTCGCTCTTTAGTAGTAGTAGCTTTAGTCAACACTTCCAGCAACGGTTAAGCAATCATCTAGCAGCCACAAACAGCAGCAGACTAAGCAACAGCAGCAACATTAACATTGGTCCAGTCGCCCAGTCGTCCAGTGACGCCCCAACTTTAATTATAAAGCGTCGCAACACATCCGATCCGCCACCTGCGACTGGCAATAGCGCGACACCCACCTCAACTGAAACTGGAGCTATAAGCGTTTCGTAGCAGTCTAGCAGTAGCATGACAGCATATGCAACCATAGATATGACGTCACTCAGCGTTTGTTGCCTGCCAAAGACGTTCTACCAACACTCACTCGACCTGAGGCGTTTCGGAGCAGTCAGTCAGTCAGGTTTAATCGCTCTTGTTCCAGGATCAGCATACGCCAGGTAGCCAATTAGCTAAAATGCAACAGGTAATTGGGTCCACCGTGCAATACCGTACTACGCCTCGCTCTCGCTTTCTTTCTCTCTCCCTCACTATTTATCTCTACTGCATCCATCATCGTCATTGCCATAGTCGTAACATAAGTAACATGTGGCCATTATTGGACAAGTGCCAAAAGTACACCATATATTCGTAAATTCGTACATGTATATACATATAAATACTTAGTATACCAGCAGCCCATAACAATTATCGCCCCATTCATTATCAAAGTGTGTGCCTTACTCCAACACACTATGCCAAGTCAAAACAACAAAGTTATATATATATATATACATACATGCATGTATGTATAATCGCAAATTTGGTCACACGATCTATAAGGGAAAATGTTGATGGTTCTACAGGATCGAGCATACCATATATATCGGGTTATATCTCTGTTAGGTAATTCTCTTTCACCTATACATATACATACTACACTATATATGCGAAGAGTGTCAGTTAAACAAAAGCAGTATTAATGGCTTTCTTTTATTTTCGAGAAATGTACTGTTAGTCGTGAATGTAAATATATGGTTTTATAAAAGAAAGAACGTACGAATTTATTAAAAAAAAACTGGACCTGATAGCTAATACTAAAAAAAGTATCCGATTCTTTGATTCTCCCTGCGGCATATGTAAAAGGAGCGATCAAGATAAAAACGAAAGAAAGCTGTTTTAGCTCCAAAAAGTTATCAATATTTTTAATCATAATAGCACACAAAACATAACATTTATATACATAACAATTTAAAGAAATTAAACAAATTATATTCAAACGAAATAAGTAACTGGAACAATTTATAATTCTTATCTTAAAGCCACAATCTAACTTTGTTGTTTACCTATTCCATTATGCGTACAAGCATGTCCACTTTTCCCCATTCAACAACATTATTATCCGCAATAATTACAACCTCCAAATGTGAGTGAAAGAGACCCCAACAAATTAAAGTATTTCGATTATTACCCAATGCAGCCATCATTTCATTACACGTGGCCTATTTTGGATGCTCGTAGGTCACGAACAATATCCTAATTTCTTATTCTCATCAGAGAAAGTTAAATTTATTCTCTTATTCCATATGACAATTTTTGTGGATATTGGCAAAGATAATTAAATTATTGCGTATTTAGCAGGAAGTTTCGTTTAAACGACCCCAATGAAGCCGAGTTCTATGTATTCTATGTTTGAGTAAAGTAAACTATTATTAGTATTCTTCTTTCGGTCAATATTCATAGCAATTTTGCGAATTAACATGCTCATATAAAGTCGAAGACCAAATATGATTAATCTGAAAACCAAGAAAACTGTCCCATTTACTTATTTCGGCCCCAAACCTCATCTTTACTTTCTAATAAAAACTAATCCACATTTCGCGCACCTTATATACATATAATTAAACATTTGTACATACTTAGGTGTTTATGTCATACAACATTCGAAAGATGATGCCAAACATTTAGTTGAGCGGTATGTCATGGTATATACATATGTACATAAATATGCATCATATGTATGTATGTATTTATGTATATGCGTAAACACAACAATGTGCGTAAAGCCATCGCCAATTATAAGAAAAAGACTGTTAAATACTTAATTAAACAAACTGAAATATATGTATGTACATATTGATTGATGTATTGTAGATGTGTAAGCACAAACACAATCAATCACCTACACACACAGTTTAAGTCAATTGAAGTATTTGTGAATCTAAAGAATTACACATACACACCTTACAATAACAACTTAAGGAATTTGGATATGTATGTGTGCATTACTATGTGTAATTTATTAAAATAACATCATTTATGTATGTATGTATTCGCGTGTCAAGAGAGATGCACACATACATACCATAAGCAGCAGACTGTCCCAGTCGCATACACACTATTGTGTACTATGTGTCAGGCGTTGAAATATACATAAATAAATTTGTAATAGGTACAATGCCCCACAAAAGTGTGTGTAGATGGTTTATTTTGCTTATTCCATTTTATTGAATTACAATAAAACGAAACCAATATTCAGCCACAGTTTTAAAGACAGAATGGTTTAAGATATAGTTCTATAGGTAAAAACACATATCTATAGACGTATATCTAGAAACTAAACACTAGCTTTAGTCTATATTCTAATCAAAAGCAAGAGCAAAGGCGAAAGCAAAACAAACAAAAACTTATATTTACGTTAACTATGCTTCCAATTTTCTGTGTTTTTATTTAAATGTTTACTTAGTAAATAACGCATATGAGAAACAGTTTTGCAATATTTACAGATTTATTTATTGATATTAACTTCTAAGCTAATAATAACAAGAAGAAGAAGCATTTTGCATTTGTACATGCTAAATTAATTCAACAAATTAATTTTGTAATAATATGTATGTAATGTATGTATGTATGGATATAAGTTCGCCACTCAGTCCATAAATGACTTTTCATTTTGTTGCATCTAAGATACATACGTACAATGGAGCATATTTATGTTCATATTTGTGACTACTCTCTCTCGCTGCCTTTGTCTCTTTTTCTTTCCCTCTCTCCCCATCACTTGATTTCCGTTTTATAAGGACTAAGAGAGATTGTTGTTGTGTGTGCATGTAAATACATGTATGTATTTAAAATATGCACAGAAGATGACAGCGTTAATAAATAATTTGCATTCAATGAAAAAATAAAGATAATATATATATTATGAAATTAACTAATTACAATTAATATTGGTTAATTGTTCCGTTTATATTTAATAGGACTTTTAGTGAGTAAGTAGATATAAATATGTATAGTTAAGAGGTTAATACAAATAAACGTGTCTAGACTTAAGGAGTATTTATATACTTATATCTATACATACATATAAAATGTTATATACACCCCACTTATTATAAATGCGTAGTTACATTACCCATTAAAAAACGAAACAAAAGCATAAATAAGAAAGGCATTAATAAGGATAAACGCAAAAATTAATTTAGAAAATAATTTGATGTATTAAAACAATTAATTATACAAACGAATACTGATATATACAAAAATCAATAAAAAAAAATGTTGAGAAGAAATACATAGTTATACCATTTATTTTCCTTAGATTTAGAGAATAAACTCAACTATCCCAGAATGAATACATCTGTAAGTATAGTGATTTTTGGTTTTGTTTTTATACCCTGAGCCCATTTTCAATGTGAAATCAGGGTATAATGGTTTTGTTGAAATGAATGTAAGAGGCAGAAGCAGGCGTGGCAGACCCCACAACGTATATATATTCTTGGTCAGGACGACGAGCTGAGTTGATTTAGCCATGTCCGTCTGTCTTTCTGTCCGTCTGTCCGTATGTATGAACTCATCGATCTCAGAAGATATAAGAGCTAGAGACTTGAAATTGTTTCCTTAGGTCCGTGAATATCACTCGCGAATCGAGTTTTGTTATCGAATAAAAACCTTATCGAAAACTAGTTACACCTATAGAGCTAGAGCACTAACATTAACCACTGACCAGAGAACACATAGACCGGACAAGTAGTCTAAAGCGTTTTGCACACTTTTTTTCGAGCATTAGTTCCCAGACCACTTCGTATTTGCTCGGCTCCTCACTTTCAGGTTCGGCCTACGAAAATATGGGGACACAAAACCATTTCTCTTCATGTGCTCAGCCAAGATGGTCGACTGTTGTAGAAAAGATCCCTCTACTCTGAATGTTTCCCTTGCTCTCTCTCTCTCTCTCTCTGCTCTTAGGTCTCTCAAATATGTATATGTATGTATGCATGTGAGGACAAGCAGCAGCTCACGAAAATTGAAATTTCGTCGCAGCAAGAACCCATGTGTTCCCTTTTGAGTGAAAAGTATTCCGCTCTCTTCAAGCCGTTTGCCATGCTCGTGCAGAATGTTTGCTTTTGCGTTATTATTTGTGGGAAGGGTATGAAAGCGTTGGTGCGCATAATGAAAATGTTTTCGCGACGAGCATGCACACACACACTTACAGTATGCCACATGTACTATGAGCATTTGTATGCCCGTGTGCGAGCTCTAGCTGCCTGTAGCAATTTTAAATTTCAGCATTTGCGATCTTGTGTTAGGCTGATGTCAGAGTGGCCGTGATAAGCGATGCGATGCTAAAAGCGAGAATTATCGCACTGATTTGCAAAGCGACGCCATGTCAGAGTGAATGAGAGATAGCTTGAAGTGTAACTCTATTTGCTAATAATGACCATCAAAATTAAAAAAAAGTCCATTTGAAATCAATGAAACGTAAATTAAATTTTCCCTGTCTTTATATTTAGCATAATTACATTCTTTTCGGACAAATTTCAATTACATCCATACATAGATATGTATGAGAACATCCTTATATTTCATTGTGCTTATATTTATGATTACCTCAGTTATCCTTCTCCACACTGTCTAGTTTTCCAACATACATACATACATAACATTCATCTATCAATATGTTATAAAACTGGGAAAAACTTATGTCTACCAAATTATTTTAAACAAAGTATGTTTTCAACATTTTCCACCAGTAACTTATTTCTTACGTCTGACCACAGCGAATTTAATAAGGAAAAAACCCTTTCGCAATTTGCATTGTGCGCATATAGGAAATGAGCTATCTTTAATTCTTCCGAGTAACAGCACGAGTGTACGTTTATTGCAAAAAACTGTACTTTCTCACCTACGCTGCTTTTCTCAAACAAATTCTTCACTTGTCTCGATAAAAACTTGTTCAAGTTTTGAGTGGCATTTTGTCAAAATGACGAGTTTTTTATCGAAACAGCAGAAAATCGGGGCAATTTGGTGTCAGGTCGGGACACCGGGACAATACGTCCAAAAGCGGAGCATGTCCCGGAATTCCAGGACGGATGGCAACCCTACCAATAATGACTGCCAGCAAATTCCTGATTATCCGTACATAGCATAGTCGGCTACAGTTTTACCTTGCTCTCATCGATAACTACCGCCACTCAGTCTTGCTGCAGTGCTATAGTGCGTGGTGGAGGTAAGCATACCATATTATATATTCGAGATGGGCCTTCTAAATCATATATGCATTTCCTGTTCTTTATGGTAGCGCTTTCAGCTTAACAGCGCAGTTTTAGTAGTTTCTTATACAAGTAGTACTCTTTGTCAGAGCTCTCTTTCGAAACGCCACTTGTAGATACCCTGAGCCCTTCGAAGAGATATCCCAATCACCGTCCACTGGAGGACTTGGTCGCCAAAGTCGTGGAGCGGTGTACACACGAATGAACATTGGTAATGAAGGTGGAGCCCTATCTGTGGCTTAACCGGAAGGATGGCGAGATTAATGTTTACCTTTTTACCTCCAGAGTTTCCTGAAGTGATTGATGAATGCCCCTGGTGTGGAAGACCCGTTTATAAAATTATAAATATGTATGCAGCGTTTTACTTTTTTTACTTGTGTATATATTGTGCAACATACTGTATTTAATTAAAAGATACAGTTTCCAATTGGTATGCCAGAGTTTCTTGCTTCTCAATTATATTTTGTAATAAAGGCTAGATGTACATATAATATTCTATTTTTTTTATACATTCAAGTAGATTGAATTATTATTATATTTATAATGTATCTAAACTTTCTTTTGCATATTTGAAAAACAGTCACTTAAATTCAAATTTTATTGTGGAAACAATTTGATTTTTATCTGTTGTGTGAAATAAATAGAATAATTTTAAGTTCTAGTCGAAGAGCCGAAAATGTTAAACCATGCCAGATACTTACAATATTACTGTTTAAATCTATTAATTTGTATTTTGTTTATGGTTTGATAACACGAAAGTTATATGATATGATATTATTATTATCATTACAATATTTTATAATTATCTAGCGGAATTAGAATCGGAACAGCCAAACCGACGAAGATAAAATATTCTGTTCTAAGAAATTTGCACTTTAATTAAATTGTTTATAAAGCCTTATGTCATTAGAGTACATATAATAAACATTTTACATGATTTTTATATTATTTGTTATTCATATTATTTTATATTATTTGGTATATATAAATAAATAAATAAATAAATAAATATATATATATATATATATATATATATATATATATATATATATATATATATATATATACTTCAATATAACTGCTAGAAGAAATGCCTCTGATGAAGAAATATGCACGCAATATTACTTAACATATTGCTATCCATTAATATTTTACTGTTTTTGTAGTTAATATGTATATATAATTGTGTATACTATACTATTATTGAAGAGGTAATTATGTTTGTTATGTAAGTTTCTGTTTTTTATACTAGAAATAACTGCTCTTTAAATAATAATACCCATGATTGATTTTATACATAAATATTATGAAAAAAAATATACATAATAACAACGGATTTCATGTATATCCACTGATATTATGGAATAGACTTATATTTATCGAATCCATTATTTTCCGATGTCAAACAAAATAAATTGAATAATGCAACTGTGGACTTGGCTCTTAGCAAAGCTACAAAGCTGCCATCAGAAGCTGGACGAGAAAAAATATATATGGAACTATATATCCAAAGGATTCAAAACCAGCCACCACTTCCTAGCTTTGAGCTAAGTCCGCCAATGCCTTTACCTAGGAGATTTCCCACACGGCCAGCTACCACATTGGTAACGGCCGCTGCTTGAGCGGCTCCAATCTTTGGCTTTGGCATGCTGCGCGATGAATGGGTACCTGACTCTCCACCCTCGCTGCCGTCCTCTTCATCACCATTACGCATATCGTCACAATTTCTATAAGTTGCAAGCAATACATAATCTTAGGTTAATGTCCGTTATTTTCGGCTGTGACTACGTGGCTACTTACAGCTCTCCATCGGCAACATCAGGCATAGTCAGCGCACAGGTTGCCTCTTCGGCAGTCATACGTTGTATAACTGACTGATATGCTTTTGAATTTAACTTGTCCTCAAGAACACCTTGTAATTCAAAGTCCGAATAAATTTTCTGGTATGAAATATAGTAGATTTAGTAAAGTCTATATAAAAATTCAAATAGCAAAATTTTAAATGGTAAATTATTGATTAAACAAGTAAAAAGTAGGGCTGTCGAATATTTTTAAAGTACCGTATCGATGATATTTTAAGTTTTGAAAAAATATCAGTATGATATTTGATATGCAACTTTAAAAAAACGACATATTAATATTTTTAGATTTTTTATAACTTTTTCCCACAATAAATTAGGTCTCCGTTCCAAAAAAAAAAAAAAAAACAAAAACAAAAACAAAAAAAAAATAATAATAATAATAATAATAATAATAATAATAATAATTCTAATAATAATAAGAATAAGTATTATTTTATTAATTTTATTATTATTATACGACTTCGTGAGTCGCTGACAATACATTTTATTGCCGAAGCATCGTAATGCGACCTTCGATACTCCAGGCATACCTGCCTTATGAAAAATCCAACAAATTATTGGATTGCTTTCCCTAGAAGTTTGCTGCAAGCTTCGGTACATCTCAAGTTCCGTCTTTTCCGCACAGTTTGCTGAACAGTGCACTATGGGCGATTATATTATCTCGAATTTCGGATTTTTTTTCTCTTAAATAGTGCCACGCCTTCTTTTCACCCCCTTATTAAGTATACGAAAATTCTATTTTTTTTTTTTAAATGTCTTAATATATAGGGAAAAAAAGTCTTTGCAAAAACTTTGAAACTTTCCTGGGTTGATAGAGAACTCACACTATATAGCTATAAATATATAGTAAAGGTTATGCGGCTGTGGTTGTTGTTGTTCCAAATATCAAGATGCGTGTAGGTGATGAATGCAGAGGAAACTTTAAGTGCATTTTTTTCAAAAGGAGCAAAAACGAGCAAGAAGGCTTTTTAATACCAAAAACTAAACATATTGCTTAGTAACTTATCATTATTAGTTGCCTGTTTTAATATGCACTTTATAAGTAATTCTGCACGGAACAATTAAAATTGTTAGATTTTTTGCTAAAAATACAATCAGCAATAACACTCGACAATAAAAAGCAAACAAAAATTTATGCATATATAATTTTAGCTACAGGTTACAAGTACCTTGAGCTTTGTTTTCCTTTTTGAGTTTTTTTTTTTAATTTTAAATGAAAACAATAATAATTTGAGCACTTGCAACAGCAGAAAATTTTTCGTGCCAATTTTTAAACGTAGAAGCTTCAACAGATCAGCTGATTTTAGGTGTTCCCACACAGAAAGAATTGACCCCAAAAATGCACAAAAAATGTTTTCCACCTAATTGGAGTGTTAACAACTAAGGAATAAAAAAATGTTAATATTTCACCATAAATTTTTGGACTTTATGCCGCCTATCACGGAAAATCGCCCAAAGTGCAATGTAAGCATCATAGTGCTTCTCTTTCATATGTGACGCCATATTTGATGTTTTACCACTTGTTTTTATTATTTTAAGGCACAAATTACATTCGGCTGTTCCCTTTTTAAAGTCCAAATAATTCGTTTTCACCATATTCAATTTTTTACTTTTGCGCTCAGGTCACTTCTCACGAGAGTGACCAACTTAAATATATCAAAATATCAAAAAAAAAAAAAAAAAAAAAAAAAAAAAAAAAAAAAAAAAAAAAAACAGATATTAGGTTCGGGCAGCGAAAATACTGCACGACAATAACAGTGCGCTGTGAGCGTTCAATCGAAATGATCCTGATTCCGTATGAGGCACAGCTATGTGTCATTTGTCCTACTCTCTCTCTCTCTCTCTCTCAGTCCCTCTCTCTCGCTCTCTATGGTCTCTGAAATCATCACTCTCAGCAGCGGACAAAAATTGAAATTGAAATTTTTGTCCGCGACGATCCCAGCTCTTTCCTTTTGAGTGAAGGGTATACCGAAATATTAAAAGCGTTTGCCACGCTCATGCAAACAAATTGTAAGCATTTCGGTGATTCTTTGGGGGAAGGGCAGAAAGCGTTGATGCGCATAAACAATATGTTTTGGCGACGAGCAAAACAAAACGACAAACAATTTCATTTGTGCGCCTGTGTGCGCAACTCTTTCTGCCTGTGAAAATTGTAAAGCTTAAAATTTGCCGTTGGTCGGTTGGTCGATTATTCTCATAAAAAGGTTATCGAATGAGTTATCGAAAAAGATGATCAACTTGTGCGGCGTATGGTAACTAACCACAGAACAGGCAGAAGGTGGCGTGGCAGACCCCATAAAGTATATATATTTTTGATCACGGCAACGAGCTGAGTCGATTTAGCTCTGTCCGTCTGTCCGTCTGTTTGAACGCGTCGATCTCAGAAGATATAAGAGCTAGAGACTTGAAAAATTTTTTTTCTAGGTCCGTGTATAGCACGCGCATATCGAGTTTTGCTTTAAATATCGATAACTTGCCCCGTTATTTTGTTATCGATTAAAAACATTATCGAAAATAATAAATTTATATCTGCCAAATCTTTAAAGCTAGAGTCTCCAAATTTTTTATGTATACTTATATGCATTTTATACAAATTCGGCTTTTGTCAAAATTAACCCCCACCTCTAATTCACCCCATCAAGCATCAAATCTGTGGCGATATGTAACCAAACTTCAACTGTCTGTAAATATGAGAGTTGCATTGTTGAACGATCTATCTGCGGATGATTTCTCGAAGCAATTGCAGAATGTCGGTTTTGGCGGCTAAAAATAAAGATGTGGATGACCTTAATTTTATTATTCAAAATGCCTTTTGAGTTTAAACGAATTCAATTCCCGATTCGTCTTGCCTTCGCCATGACGATCAACAAATCACAGGGCCAATCTTTGACTATTTGTGGCCTCAATCTAGAAAATGCGTGTTTTTCTCTCATGGTCAATTGTATGTGGCATGCTCACGTGTTGGCAAACCATCCGCATTATTTGTTCTTGCACCTGACCAAAAAACGAAGAATGTCGTTTACCACAAGGTGCTTGAATGAAAATCCGATTAATAACCAACCTGAACAACATAGCTTTCAACAACCTAGAAATAATGGATAGGGCAATGCAACGTTTGCCGGGCCAGCTAGTAATTAATATAATAACACATATAATAATGTAATAAAACGAAATCAGTCGGCGTTCGAGTAAATCAAGAAGCAGGATTATTAAAAAAAAATCTTTAACTTCTTGATCTAATTTAATATCTAGTGCAATCAAGTGCTTTTTGCAATTTATAATTATATGAGTGGATCTGATGAACCTCAAAAGCGAGTTGAATAAATTGGCCATTGTGTTCAAGCAGGAATTTTTTCTAGTGATAATTGCGCATATCCTTGTTGCGTGCTTCAAGAGCTTTTTCAGATATCACTTCAATTGGCAGGAACACTGCTTTTATAATATCGGTCCCGTGCACAAGGATTTTATGAAGTGACGTATAAGCAGATAAAGCCGTTCAACCATTCAGCATTAGATTTTTCAAAATATGACAGTATTGCTTTGCAGTAAAGTTGTAAACTTTTTTATTAACTGACAAATGCTTCTCTTCCCTATCATTTTTATTCCCGATTATCTTTGTGAAAACATAGGTATCAACTTTTTTTGTTTGCTGCGATTATCTGCCCCATATCGCAAAAAGCGATTTTATTGATGTAGACATTATACCTATAAAATAATCTATGCATATGAGTGGCAAGTATTGGCAGTTCAGTCCAGTTTGACACTGAACAGACCATTTATTTTAAATAAAAATACGTTTCTGGGCGAATACTTGCGAGTATTAAAGGTTATAGTCTACGAAAGTTGAAGTATGTTGAAGTGTTAAGTTAAACGGCATAATACGCATAAGAACATATGTTTTACATCAAATACATACCAACAATGTGGATTTGTAACATTTGTTTCCCCTAAATTATACAATAAATAAGTAAGAAGGCTCTACTCGAGACTGCTCGAATAGGAGATACCCTGAACCCTCTAATCTGATATTCTAATCATTCTGCACTTCTTTTACACAATATACACACAATAATTTCTTTTGTAGACATACGATCTTAATAAAACTTTCAGAGTGTAATCATATGGTGAATATGAAATGTCAAAGCACAAGTCTCTAGTACTTGAAATGCGTTTTTTACAAATTGGGGGAGAAGGGGGCGTGATATCCAAAATTTGTAAATTACAAAATCTTTGTATCGATTAACTTTATATACAACGCAAATTTGAAGACAACAGGTCTAAAAATGTTCAAATTAGGCTAAAAAAACAAAATCAATTTTTCGATTATTCTCGATAAAAAGTTATCGGACGATTTATCGAAAAAATAAAGCAAACTCGTACTATTTATAATTTTCGATACGGTTTTTAATCTATAACAAAATAAAGGGAAGAGTTATCGATTTTTTTAAACAAACTCCGTTTGAGCGTTATATATAAGTCTAGCTTTTATATCTTCTAAAATGGCGGAAATGATCGAAATAAATAAATTTAAGTATAAGATGTCCTGAAGTCTTCCAGGAACTGATTTTGAAAAAATGTTAAGCTCCTTTTCTGATTACACATGAAACAAACAGATCCACACATACGCTGCGCTTCTCTTTTGGAATGACAATCTTGATCAATTTTCTGACCGTGGTAATAAAGTCTGTGAATTGAAATACGCCTTTTGCAACCATTGAAGGGATATTTAAATAAAATTTTACTCTGAATTTAAGCGTTTTAATTGATGTTTGTAGTCTCAATCTTTTACAGCAGAAGTCGACACGCTTATAAATAAGGACAAAGGGAACTAAATCGATTCAGCTCATCACTCTGATCAATATTATATAGACTATGGGGTCATGCCTATCATAGATTTTGATTACAACCTGATTTTTCAATTCAATGAGTTCTGGTTATAAAAAATTATATATAAAGAAAATGAAAACATAAAGTTTAGCGTTATATAATGTTCTAATTATATATATATTATATTGTTTTCCGAATTTTTATTATTATTTATGTGAAGTTGTAGCTTATTACCTTAATAATATGAGAGATAGACGTGACCTGGGCATAGTGTAAGGAGTGATCCATACGTTCTGATAACCAAGTGGAGAGCATATTTACTTGCTGATAATACCATTCCTCAAAGAAGTTTAATGTCCATAGGTCATCGCCGATTTTACCACGTATTTGATCCATATTATTTCGAAAAAAATTCACATATCCTTGTCCGAGATCCTTGCCAGAGCTCGAAACATTGGTAAAACTAAGAATTGATCCAATGAGACTGCCCTCATCGTAACGCCCTAACTTCGACAAAGTCGACTCCAGCACTGACATAAGTTTTCCACTTAAACCTTGTGTCATGGCTACATTCGCTTTGTCGATTTGTTCATCGATTCTTGCATGGAATTTGTACTAAAAGATGTAATAATAATAATTATAATATTGTGCGTATTTGTGTCTCCGTGTGTACGTGTGTCCATGTGTGTGTGTGTGTTTGTATGTGTTTGTTTGCGTATGTGTGTGTGTGTGTATGTCTGTGTGTGCGCGCTTATCTTACTCACCAGATCGATACCGTCAATTGTAGTTAATTTAAAGCTTTGATTTTTAGCATCTAATATCACATTTACCATAGCGCACATCTCTGCTGGTATTATATAATCGGTCGATATAAAGGCAATATTTTTCTTTAACCACGACTGAAACGACGAATCCGTTCGCTGTATACACTGTTCAATCATATCCACGGCCATCATCTTAAGTCGCTGCTCCAAATGCTGTCGGAACTCGGCGTCTGGCCAATGCAGATCTCTAATAAAAGATTGCAATGCATCCAATTTCCAGAATAAATCTTCCGATGTTGCACAACCATTTCTGTGCAATCAAATAAGTAAATCATTGATGAGACGTTAATACATTAATATTATGCCAGTAGATATTTGGTAAGTGTAAATGTATTTTGCAATATATATGCAATACATCAATTTATTATATATATTATTAGAGTGAGCTGCGCTACAGTTCTTTGCTGATATTCAGGTAATTAGTACTTGATCTGGTAGTAGGTAGCCAACCGATTCCATAGTTAATGAACTCAATTTTAGTAACCAATTTAATATTATAATCTTGATTTCATAGACGAAATATTATGAAATATTTAAAAAAATGTGCACATATTTTAGATATACATATCCCTGATAGCCTAATTTGAAAATATTTGTTTAAATGCTCACTACTATCCGAACGTATAACTCGTATAATAATATAATATAACTAAAAATATTGGCAAGTAACTTCAATTACAAGCAAGCAAATGCAACTACAAAAATTTGAATAGGGATGCTTAATCTACATTTAATTGCTAATGCTAATGAAAAGGTGTTATATTGGCATAGTAATTAACTGATTGATTGAAGATAATTACAGGTAATAAGCGCACGCATAATGAGAGTTACATATGAAGAGCTTAGCGAAAGTATATATTGTTGAGTTATTCCAAATTTATTTGATCTTATATTCAGCTTTAATTTTAATTATGAGTTCAATATTAATAATGAGCAGATTTCTTTAAAAATCTAGATACAAATAAGATTTTTCGAGACATGACCGATGTCTATCAACTATCTGATAATTTAATATATTTTGATTTGTCAACTCTGTGATTTTATTTAAATACTTTAACTCTAACTCTTTAACTCTAACACTCTATAGCACATTCAGTGGTACCCACCCAAAATTACAGATGAAAAACAGTTTTTACTAAAAACAAAATAATGTCACAGAAATATGATTGATTGCATTGGCAAATAAAAAAAATACGATTTATATCGTAAACACGTTGTTACGGAGCTACTAAAGTTTTAAACTCTTGGAAAATCTGAAAATATTGATATTGCAATTTATTGTAATGTAGCTGCGTTGGCATCGTTTAAGAGTGCTGTGCAGTTAGTAGCATCCGACAGCACCGTTCTTATTTGTTTGTCGGGAAAAAACGCTCATTATTATATTAAGACTATATATAAATATTTCTATATATATTAATTTATATATATATAACACTAGGGCTCATTGAGGTGATTGAGTTGTGAAATTAGGCAGTAATTATGCATTGTATTCTTATTATTGGTAATTTTAAAATTTTGTTAGCATACATATTATGTATATACAAAATGTACATTGATCATCATTGTCATGTATTGTCGGATTTTACTAGTGAAAAATTAATTAATACATGAATTATGCTAAATCTAAGTCGTGTTCTAGTTAAATCAATTCTCGAAGCAGCAACAAACACAACAAAATGCAAAGTGAACATATTTTGGAGTATCTTAGATAGAGGCATTAATAGTAAAAACCTCGTTTCGTCAACACCACCCGCTGCAGCCGCAGCAGCTGTGCATTTCGGTAGCTTCGGCACATAAAAATTGATTTGATCTTTCTTGCCGCTCAGCAGGGCCGCAGGATTAAGAGCAGCCGTGTTTAAAGCCTGGGCGGCATTATTTAATGCAGCTGGATTCAAGGCGGCGTTAATCCTAAATTTTCAGCACAAATATGAAAATAGAAGAAATGAACGGCACACGTTTCAATAGCTAAGTAATGATTGAAGGCGAAAAGATGATGAGAAAGGCAGAGAGAGAGAGAGGACTGATGAACGAACAGAGATAAGCAGAAAATGAGAGAGACAGAGAAAGGGATAGTACAGAGAGAGTGAGTATATAGAGAAGAGATCGAGAGAGAGGGTGAGACTGCAATGCTCGCAACGCCAAATTAACATTTTTTATTGTCATGATAATGACGCCTGTCAATCTCATAATTATCGATCAAGACTTAGTATACTAATAATAAATAGATAGTTTGAAGTCAGGGAGATAAATGTGTATACCAAATATACATACATTAAGTATATAAATATAAAACATATACATATTTATATACTTAGGAATCCAATTTCCGTATTGGCTCAGCAAATGTATTTTCGAACAAAATTTCCAATGAAATTTTGCCTTTTCATTATTTTTAAAGACTATATTTTAATTTAACTTTTTTCTTTTTTTGTACTTTTTCCTAAAAATAATCCAGAACTTATGGATGGCATAGTTTTCTTGGACACATAACATTAAAAAAAAAGAAATTTAAATACTATATATATCTAAATACATAAGTGTATACAAATGAAGCTATCCGAACGGCCTATTATGTAAGGGTCAACTTGATAATGGGGATTTTAGATGAAGTTATATTAAGTCAAATGGGAGTATCACTTACCCTTTGCTCTCCCAGCGTTCTTTCTCGAAGCCCTTGTGTATCGATTGAGCTATCGAGGATTCCATGAGATCTACATATCTCACCACCAATGGAGCAAACGTGTCACGCAGGTGCTGATGAAATCTTCCATTTCGCAAATTATCTGAAATTATTAACAGTCAAGCAATATTTTTGTGTTATCTATGTTCCCCTGAGACTTATAAGGAACAGATGGTCAAATCATATAAACGATTGTTTTATGGACACATATATATGTGCGTATGCGTCCATACACATTTAGCAGCGACTGCGCTTGGATTGTGTGTGTATTTGCCAAAAAACAAATCTCTAGAACTAGAAAGACTATTTTTTTCAAATTGGTGGCGAAGGAGGCAGGGTATCTAAAATATGTAAATTATAAACTCTTAGTTTTCGTCAAATGCATCTAAACAGTAAATCTGAGATCTCTGGGTTAACAGTTTTCAAATTAGGCTTAAAAAATGAAATCAAATTTATTATTCTCGCTAAAAAAAAAACATGAGAGTTCTTAATGAGAGTGAACAAACGTTTTGTTTTTTTTGCTCTGTAAATTTGATTGTTATCATAATTAACTAATTTTATTAAAGTTTCACACAATTGCGGTCGGCTGATTTTTGCATCGAGAGAGATTAGTTGATCATCGTGCAAATATCTCTCGCTGTGTTCTTTCGTTACGCTCTGTAACGGCTGTTTGTTGTTGAACTCGCTCTGTCAACCTATAAACTCTCTTGGTTTTTATATTTCTGCTTCATTTCGGCAAGTTGTGTTTGATTCCAATTGCCAGGCAGGCAGTGGACTCTGCACAAGCGCAATTTGTAAATTGCTGGTTGTGCGATAATTTGATGCATACTAAATGTGCAGGTCTCACTGGTCGGGATTATGACAAGATTGTGTCCACAGCAAAAATTGTTAGTGGGTGCGTAAGCAGATCAACTTTTCTAAAATGTATAGTGCTGTAAGGGCTCAATTTTTAAAACTGAAGAAGATTTTAAAGCAGTTATCCAGTGATATGGCTGCTGCTGAAGAAATATTAACTCAGTATAGCTTTGAGAGTCCCCTTTCTCAATTGGAGGCTCGTTCGTTGTTGGTACTTCCTTCCGTGCTAACATCGTCACCTAATTCGCTTGGATACATCTCCGATTGTTGTTCAAACAAAGTTAGCTTCTCCTGGCATTACCTTATCTGTCGTCTCTCCTCGAAAGCAGGTTTTCTTATCTAGGCATTGGGCCATAGCTGGCCGGACTGGCAAATAAAATACCCCCATCGGGTTGGTGATATTATTGTTATAATTTGCTGTACTTTTTGTAGGCTATTTTAATTTTAGTTGACTCCAGTTTTGTCAATATCTTTTTAAATAAATAAATAAATGAGTTATCGAAAAAATATGATAAATTAGTACACAAAAATATACATGTAAAACTACACGTCTCTAGCTCTTATATCGACGCAACGGACAGACAGACGGATGAGCTAAATCGACTTGACTCGTCGTCCTGATCAGGAATATTTTCACTTTATGGGGTCTTCCATGCCTCCTGCCAGCTACATACATTTAACTCATTTTCAATGGGCTCAGCGTATAAACAAGTAAGAACGTTGCAGTCGGGCGATACCGATTGCAGAATGCTCATTCACAGCCCCAAAACGCAACATGATCTCATTAAAATTTACTGTGTGTGTGTGCGTGTGTGTGAGTGTGTGAGTGTGTGCTCTTCTTGTGTAAGCACTGAGCCCTTTCTGAAACTAATACTTCAACAATTATTCGCTTCTTTTGTAGTCTAATATTGGCAAATAAATATAAGTAAAAAAAATGTTATTACATATCATACGATGGTTTGGAGTACAGTATAAATTCTAATCTCTATGTCTCTAGCATACAGACGTTTTGCATAGATCAATTGATGTTTCATACACCAAATAATTTATTAGTACATCGTCACAGAGTATATAGGACATACTGTTCGTAGACTTACCATCAGATCTTAAATAATCATTAAGTATTTGAAACAATGGAAACGAGTCCCATGTATCTGGTGCTTGCTCGGACAAAACTCGATCCATGTCCACTGCGAATAGAGACCAGAATATTTCCGCATGCTCAACCAGTAGATCGCTGAACCAAGCAAATGCCTACATATAGGATTATACAAAACAAATATTAAATGAAATAATTTATTTGTATATATAATATAAAAATGTATGATATGATGATATACATATATATGGTCGACTCTCATTATTCCGAAATTCAAGGAACTCTTAAAATATAACGAATTATCGAATGCTTGAAGTATTAAATGGTTCGAAATGGCTACAGTCGAGACTGCTCGACTAGGAGATACCCTGAACCCTCTAAGCTGATATTCTACTTATTCTGCACTTCTTTTATGCACACATGCATACACACGCATCCACACGCACGTCTAATCTCGAGCTCTGCTGACTGCGCAGTTAGCAGCGACAGCGCTTGGGCTGCACTGCAGCGTGAGCAAAATGATGAGAATTTATTAGTTGAATAATTTCTCTTGTAGTAGGACAATCTTTATGAAACTTTCAGAAGGTAAATATATGGTTAAAATATGTGTACATTCTCTAGTACTTGAAATAGGTTTTTTACAAATTGGGGGCGAACGGGGCGTGTTATACAAAATCGTATATGCTGTATTCATCAAATGTATATACACACTAAATTAGGCTGAAAAAACAAAATCAGTTTTTCGATTATTCTCGATAAAAAAGTAATCGGATGAGTTAACGAAAAAATAAGATAAACTTCTACTGCGTATGGGATACACGAGTATGCAGCCAAATTTCAGCTCTCTAGCTTTTATATCTTCTGAGATCGATCCTGATCAAGAATATATATATTATGGGGTCTGCGATGATTCCTTCTGCCTGTTAGATACTTTTCTCAATTTCCCATTTTCATTCATTCATTCAGGGATAAAAAAAATTTCGAATTATCAAAGGGTTTTTATTTAACTGCTGATATTTGACATATTACTATTGTTCAAATTAATTAATCTTTGAAACGCATTTATACGGGATCGCTTCGAAACATATTGCTGCTGCTCAGACTTTTCAATCATTTTTTAAGGAGAAAAAGTGTCTAATATGCACTGATTTGAATTGTCGAGTGTTTGACAATATACATATGTAAGTACGCAATGTCGCGTAAAAATGTATGGGCATAATTCGAAATATACCGATATATTGTAGGGAACTCGTGATTACTTTGAATTAATGAGAGGTTCGAAATATCGCAGGTTTGCAATAACGACTATATATATATATATATATATATATATATATATATATATATATATATATATATATATATATATATAGTCGTTATTGCAAACCTGCGATATATATATATATATATATAATAAAAGTTTAGATGAGAATGAAAATTAAAATTAAAGCAATAATTTTTAAATCGATTAAAGCAATCATTTTTAAATGTGCATATATGCGTTTCGTATATATTTGGGTATGCAACTTTATTAGAGTTTTAAAGAATAAGAAATCGACTTGTGATTAATTACAATTTTTAATAAAAAGAAGAAAAAAAACTTGAATGTTCGAGAGTATTGTTTATTCGGCCAGCCGAAATTTTTAAGCACTCGCAGAAACTGTTTGCAGGAACCGTAACGATTATAATATTTATAGTAAAAATTAAAAAATAAGAAATATTTGTTGAGTAATTTAAAAAAATTATTATTATTATTATTATTATTTATATATTATATATATTATTATAAATAATGTGTACGATAAAAATAAATATAAATATTACAGATCAATTTTTATATGAAAATCAAAGCATACACTTTATTTTAGATTTTTATGATATTTTATGGTTAAAAATAAGAATTATGGCTGAACTTTTATTATAAACATTGAAAATAATAATTGAATTTAAATATCTCTTGAAGCAAGGAAGCTAGATTATATATAGGCTTATATATATATATATATATATATTATATATATATTAATACCTTAATACCTTTCAAATGATATATAATATGTAAATATATTTATTATATGCTAAGGCACTAGCCCTGTGCATTTGACAGTACCTATTCAGCAGGTAATGTGAGGTAATGATTATATGTATTAATTATCACGATCCCTAGTACCCATAGATATAACACTATATAAGTTTACTATTTGTCTAGTTTTAAGAACATTATTTCATTACAAACTCTGCAACTAGGCTGGATCTTCAATCAGTCAACACAACCTTAAGAGCCTGGGTGGCAGACTGAGTGAACTTACTTTAAAGTCGGTCTTTTAAGACGGACTTTTCGCGCTCAAAATACAGACGACCCTCGTTATTTCGGAATTCAAGCGACTCTTAAAATATGACGAAATATCGAATGTTTGAAATATTAAATGGTTCGAAATTTTGAAGAGAAAATAAATAAAACTTCGAATTATCAAGGGTTTTGAATTCATTTATACGGATTTCTTTCGAAGCGCATTGTACCAACAAGGCCTTTTCAGGCCTTTCAATAATTTTTGTAATAAGAAAAAGAGCCTTTGTAAGTTATCCAATGAGGCTCTTGCTACCTTAACTGACACCTCTGCCAACGGCTCTGATGTATCGTCTTCACCTTCATTGTTGCTCTTTTCATTCGTACTTGTCGTAGATAAACTTTCATCATCGGTTAGGGATCCTGAAAAAGCAACATCTTCATCCACTTGAACATAGTCTTTTGCAATTAATTTCTTCTTCAATCGTCAAACATTTATACTTTTTATGAATTTGATTTAATACAAAATTTTAATCTGTATTCTAACGAAGCAATTTGTGCGGAAGCGAGCAGCAAAATGTACCTATGTATGTATATTTTACGCGTAGCATGTAATCACGAACAGTAAAATTAGTTTCAAAGGAGTCCCAAAACTCAAATTCAACAAATTCAAATACTAACACACCAAGAAACTTGAAATTTTAATTGTCGGGTGTTTGACCATATGAGTACGCAATGTCGCGTCTTACCAATGATTTTTACTATACTATATGTATGTTATACAGACATACAAAAACACATATACATCATATACATACACAGGCATCACACGCACGCATAACTACGCGGTCTGCTAACTGCGAAGTAAGCTGCAACTACGCTTAGACTGCAGTGTGAGTGACCTTATGAGAATTTATTTGCATTTTGTAGTGGTGCTATCTTCATGAAACACATTCACAAGACTCTAGTACTTAAAAAAGGTTTTTACAAATTGGGCGCTAAGGGGGCGTGGTATCCAAAATCTGTAAATTACAAAATCTTCGTATTCAAATGTATGTACACAGTAATTCTGAAGTTTCCAGGTCTAAAAGTGTTCAACTGAGGCTGAACGAACAGAATCAATTTAGCGATTATTCTCGATACAAATGATATCGGATGAGTTATCGGAAGAATATGATCAACTCATATTACGTTGGTATACACGAGTATGCCTATAAAATTTCACATCTCTTATATCTTCTGAGATCGACTTGCTCATACGGACGGGCTGACAGACAGACGGACAGGGCTAAATCGCCTCAGCTCGTCGCAAACACATTTTCTGCAAGCGTTAATTATTTACATGACATAAGCTTCAGTTAATGAAAATCGTAGGCCTATTTAGGTTTTAGAAAGTGCCTAGGTGCATGAAGTATATTATTTTATATGAAACATATTAAAATAAAATATTTATTGATTGTATCTCAACTTCATATACATACATACATATGTATGTTTGCAATGTAATTTTGACTTGATAATTAAATGAATGGGTAGATAATATTAAGCGTGTTCCATCAAATTAATGCATCCAAATTCTGACGTACGACACTCATGCATTTTCTATTCTACTAAATTTAAATAAATATTAACATTGTGTGTTTCATATACAATTTGTTCTTTGTGTAGATATTAGAGCATTTTAAAACGAAATAAATATATTATATATTTTTAAAGTTATATTTATATATATACAAGATATACAGCAATAGCCAGAACACATAAAAGAATTAATAATAAAAATAATAAAAGAAATATAAATAAATAAGTAGGCATAAATGCATCAGAATAAGTAAAATCCCCTTTTCCACTTATTTTGAATTTAAATTGAAACCTGAAGCTTCAGAGAAAGGGAAAGAAGAGTAGAGGTACTACAAGATAGATCGATAGGGAGAAAGAGAGAGAGAGAGATGGATAGACTACAAAAGAGAAGGAAGATATATTGTACGTGAATACTAAACTGATAACATTGGAGTCCACGTTGTGAAGTCAAATCATTTCTGAGGCAAATGGCAAATCATTTCAGATGTCATCAAAATTAGGATCAAGCTTTATATTTACATTATGATTTACAAATAAAAAGCAATGCAAAAATGTAAGACACATTTATTTCGGTGTATATACATTTGACACACGCAACAATTTCTGCTTCTCTCTCCCAATATATGTACATACCACTGTTGTTTTTTCTTTTGTTTAATTTACACATACGACACTACATTTTCAAAAATATAATCTATATGCATACAGCATAAATTACAACTTATTTTATGATTGCCAGGATTTTTAATTTAAATGTTAACATTAACTGAACGAGCTAATTGCACATATTTCGTTCCAGTGCTATATAGTCGTGAGGAAACTCTACATTGTCTATATAGTCGTGAGGAAACTCTACCAGCCCTACTATCACACGAAATCGGGAAACATTATTTTGGTCTCTCAGAAACGATACTATTTATATCGTAAATGAGTATTGCGCCGAGTGCAAAGGTTTTACTTCTTTCCAATTAAATATTAGCATATGATATATTAGATGTTATTTTTTTATGTTTATTTTTTTATAAAAAGGCTCTTGGATTTAAAATTGAAAAAAAGGGAATAAAAGAACTGACTGTAAAAATGGGTTAAAATTTTAGAGTGCTTCCCATAGATATACGTGTTTTTATAAATATATAAATGAATGTATGTAAATGTGTGTAAGTATTCAGATTTCTTGTATAAATATAATGTGTGTATAACACATTCATACATATATGTATTATTATATTATAAAACTAAAAGAAATACGTGTTATCTATGCTCATATATTATGTTGTATGTCTATTTTCTAAATGAAAGCTTGCTTTGTATATGTGTAAAAAAAAGACAGAGAGAGAGAGAGAGAGAGAGGAGTACATGCCGTTGGTACTGGCGATGTGTACACCGCATGTGTGGGCATACAGTAGCGAAATGGGGGCGGTCCGTTAGTGTTAGCGGCAGCTGTAGCAACATCCAAAGAGGCTTGATCCATGCTATTGTTTCCCTGACTAGATGAAGCACCGGCGACAGTGGAACCAGCATCATTGGGCGGTCCAGTCCCATCTGCACCGCCTTCCTTTATTGTCTTAACTTTATCCTTCTTGTTGTCTGGTTTTCGCAGCTAAATTGTGTAAACCGAGTATACAAATACAGATGTCGTACCAAAAACAATTTATATATGTACTTAGGAGTTAAGAATGTGTTAAGCAAGATCAAGAACTTCTTGATTACGTTCAGCAACAGAGATATTATTATTTAAATGCATCGATAATTAAATGTGTGAACACTAATAATAATTTGTTTATTACGTGTTCGCCGTTCTTTCACGACAGAGTACGACCTTGCGTTTGACAGATATATATGCTATTTGGTTCAAACTAGATCTTATTTATATTACAATAATAATGATCAGTGAAAAATAAATAAGTCGATCTTATATCTCAATTTTCCTCTTCTGTTTGTAAATTGGTTAATATCGTTAGATATTATATATGTATATATAATATATAGGTTATATATATTGTTTTAGCCAAAACTTGATCTAAGCCGCTTTTAACACGGATTGAAGAAATGTATAATCAAATAGAAAAAACAAACTAGTTCGCTAATTATTGTACGGAATTGCAATTCAAGTTTATACGAAATTTATCTATGAAAGCCCCATCCATGTATTAGCCAAAAATTATGCCAAGAAAATTATTGCGTATACACATAAATAGATCCAATCGGGTTGCAAAATAGGGAAAGTGTACGTATTATAATCGGAGGGTGCTCAACTTTTGAGATGTGGTTTAAACACACAACATATACAAATAAATATACATATACATATACACACATAGAGACGAGGGAACAGTCCTATATATATATGCGGTAAAGTTTAAAGAAATTCAAACTATAAAATTAACGTTAGTTAATAAATTTAGTATATTGTGAAGATTTTATATATAAATTGATAGACCAAAAAAGGAACACATAATGCATAAAGAGTGGTACTGCACATACTTTCGCTCATAGCGTAGCACAGGTAGCAGGCATATATAAGATTTGCCTACAGACATTTAAACAACACACCTAAAAGAAATTAGTTTATTCGTAGCATATGTCTAGGCGCAGCACAGTGTAAGAATAGTTATAAGAATAACATCTTGCATAATACTTACATTTAACGGTATATCTTTGTGAAACTTACACGTAACATGCATACCGGTATGTATGCAACTATGTATTGATGCATGATACATACATACATATATATATATGTATGTATGTATGTAGCTATTTTCTTGACAACGACAACTTACTTCGCCATAATGCTCCTCATTCTGCTGTAGTAGATCAACGCAAAGCTCGGACAAATGTATCAAGTCCTCAAGTTTTTTAGGTGGTGGTACAATCACTTCACCACGTAAATCCTCTGTGGGCAATTGAGTATCAATTTTATATTTGATAACAACTGAATTGAATGCAAGTGGTTAGCTACCTTCGATCTTAGCTTCAGCTGATAGCCTTGTGTAGTTGATAAGTGCAGCAGTCTCCAAGCTTTTTTTAATCATTTGTCGCACTTCTTCCGGGGGTACTGGGGTAACGATATCCTTCATTAGAACTCTTTCGAGTAACGATAGCGTTGCTTTCAATGCCCCTTCTGGCCGACCGAATGGAAAACAATATCTGAAATTTGTTATTTGATACTCGAGTAGCTGACGTAAACGTTCTTTTATTTCCGAAAACTTCTCTTTTTCCTCATGTGTTATACTGCCCACACCATCCGGCCTATAATAATAAGCATAATAGTTTTGTCTAATTAATTGTGCTTGTACAAAAGAGAATAAGTTACCTATTGCCGTGCACATGGCTTGCGCAGAATGCAAAAGAATAATGGATCAATGTGGGATCAATCATGTGCTGTTTTTCAGCACGATCCAATAGATCTGAAAGATAGCACAAATGTCGATAGCAGCCACGAACACCATATCGAGCGCAGTATTCGTCCAAAACAAAGACCTGTCCTGGACTAAACCATCCCTAAACCATACCGAAAAAAATACAATACATCAAATCAATTTAGAAACAGTCTTCAAACAACTCACCAAAGACGCATAAGGATCACTTAACCGGTATTCAAGTGTTAGATTTTGTAATATTTTAAATAAGCTTGCATGATCAAATGTACACGGATCCGCACTTATATAATCCTCCATTCCATGCTTCCGTGCTTTATCCGCATCTATGTCAAAAATATATTTTATAATTTAAGCATAAGAAATTCAAGCATCAACCACTAAATATTGACTACTTTGAATGTACTATTTAAATCACTGCAGCTGAATTATTTATTAACTTAACTTACCCCCTTGAATCTTAGACATGGCCGAGTTTTTGTCCTGAGTTATCGGTGGAGTGGGTTTGTGAGATTGACCAGTTGCTCTATACATAGCCATAACCCAGAGGCTGCATTCGTTTTCATCGTCACATGCAAAAGCAATGCTGTCGCCTTCGCGTACCGCATTAAAGAAAAATCGGCCACCATTCAAATCGATTCCGAACATAAGATTTGCTATGAAAATTAATACAAAAATAATTTATATAATTAGCGAAAATAAACTGCTTAACAATATTTATTATACCCAGAACCCATTGAAAATGGTAAATCCGGGTATAATTGTTATGTTAAGTATGTAACAGGCAGAAGGAATCATCGCAGACCCGTTAAAGTATATATATTCTTGATCAGCTGCTCCGTCCGACCGTCTGTCTGTCTATCCGTATGTTTGAACGCGCCGATCTCCGAAGTTATAAGAGCTAGAGACTTGAAATTTTTTAAATGTCCGTATATAAGTTAAGACTTTCGACAATCTAAGGAGGCTGGAGAGTCCAGTCAGACATTCAAGGGGAGAACCAAACAAGTTGAACAGATTTAGTTCAGTTTATATTCGGACTAGAGAGAGTTTAGACCTATTGTTCCAAATTGTATAAAATATATTATTTCATTGAACACAAAGTTGTTATATATTCACAAGAACCCAACACAGCGTCCCCAATCACTAGTACTCTAGTGTGGGAGCGCTTAACTTATATAGCACAGATATCTAGGATATTTTTTTATTGATTAAAAACCTTATCGAAAATAAGTTATTTAATTATATCCCCTATACCATTAAAGCTAGAGTCTCCAAATTGTATATGTAGACTCATATTATAAAGAATTTCGATTTTTAAAATAATTTACCCCCGCGCCAATATCCACCCCCTCACCTATATATTTGTAAATGGCGTATTTTAAATACTAGACTTGTGCTTTGGCAAGTGCACTGATTTCAATATTAGAATCACGATCTAAAAGTTTAATGAAGATCGTCCATCGAAAAGAAAAGTTATTAAACAATTAAGGTATCACATGTAACCAATATAAATATAGACATACCACTGGCTGCTTCGATGTAATCAACTGTATATCCATCTAGCTGCATCATTTCGGACGGTTCCGATTTCTTTTCCTTATAGCTACACATTGCGAATGTATATTGAGACACTTGAACTAAAACAAAATATCGGCGTTTCCACTTTTTCCACACCGATTTTCCAATTGCAAACAGATGTCTAAGAAAATGTATAACATTATTTTAATGGAATGGATATGATATATCCCTCGATTTACATACCCACAGTGTTTCATATTTAACGGTTTGTCAAGCCTGCATGCTATCTTTATCCGTACATCCTGGTCGGGTAAGTTTTTGGGCACGATCATACGATGCCATTCTGGCGACTTGATTAGAAGACAACATTTTACAAATTATACATTTGGACAGCAAAATTTCTTTAAATCGATATGTCACTTACTTTGGAAGAAAGCGGTGTAGGCTTTATGATGACCTTTCCTAACTCCTTATCCTCTAGTGCGAGCATTCCAGGGTTTTCTGTATACAGCTTCACTTTTACGACAGGCAATGGATGAGTAGTAGTGAAATCGCCCTGAGTATCCCACCTGTAAACAATTTGTCAACCAATTTAAATTATTATACTCAATTAACATTAAGATATTCACGTAAAGCCACTTACATTGGTTTCGATGCCTCGGCTTGATCAGTTTGCAGTTTTTCCCCATTTTCCACCTCCATTGTGCAGTAGACAATCCGGTTTGGCGCTAAAGACTTTAGGCCTTTCACTTCCATTACAATGACTTCCAATTGAAATGTGAGAACAACATCCAATTTGGTTAATTGTGTAGAACCATCTTCTGAGTCACCTTCTAGCTTCGATAGAGATCCATGAGATCGCAGAATCATTTTTCTATTTTCATGAATAAAATTGATCTTCCATATAAATATAATTATCAATACACTTGTAAGGTAACTTACAAAAATGATGGTGTGCTGCAATATTCAAGAGGCAAAGAGAGAGAGAGAGAGAGAAAGAGAGAGAAACAGAGATACAAGAGATAGAAAGAAAGACAGCGAGAGAGTTAATAGAATAAATAGGGATTAAACAAATCTTTTATAATGAGATGACAGATTTACCTGTGGTTATAACGTTTCAATTTTTGAAGCCCATATTTACTGTCCATATTTCCTTTTGATACGGGAAGAGATTCCAGATTAGCCATCAATAGATTAATAGATGATTTTAGTTCCTCAATGTATAAAGACTCCATTTCCTTAAGTACGAACTTTGGCATCAGCTTTCGATTCTTCTCCATTTCTCCAACACGCTGCATACGTCCATCCAACTCTCGTCTAATAGCCGCAGCCTGTTCATCAGCAGAATCGAGCTAATATAAATTAGATTAAAATATAAATCAAAAGTGTATATAATACACATAAACACATACGCATTGTAAGATTTGGAGCCTCAGGCTTCTTTTAGAAAACATAATTTTATAACTGAATTTTGAAAGATCAATAATTTGGAGCACACTTGATATGCAACCTGCCCGTTCACACATAAGGACGGAACGGGGTCATAGCCCTGATCAAGAACATATATATATTATATGGAAATTGCCACGCCTCCACAAATCATTATTAAATATTCATGCTTCTGATTCGTCACACTCAAAGACTAGATGAATTCACTGGAAGACAAACTCTCTTATTTCGTGAGGAGACTCGAAATATTCTCATCTTGTTGGTGGTTGGACTTATATAGCAGAGGTCGAGAGCTCTCTCCAAAAGTTTGCAAGATATATGTACTTTTACTTTTATATATATCCCAAACAGTGGAAGGACATCGACACGGCCATTTTATGGAAAAGTAAACTCTTTTATATTCTCTTGAACGATTTAAAAAAAGTTAGTTTCTGTTGAAATTCGAATACTTCAAGGGCTTTAGTGAAATAAATTATTTTTCGATATATAATAAATAATTTTGGATATATGTATATCCTCAATATTTTTAATAAATATATTTACAATTATCTTACCATTAGGGCATTAAACAGAATTTGATGTTCGAATTTTTTGACAGATAAAATCTGTTGAAACATATCATAGAGCTGCTCTTTGGATAAAATCAGCTCACTATTTAATGATTGTTGCATGCGCGAAGGACGTTTGGTATCCTCTTCTCCACTACCCTTAAGAATGATGTCAAACTTTGCCATCCAAGAAGTCAACACCGTTTCCTTACTCAATCCATCAATTTCTGGTAGGGATCTAGATTTATAAATAATCGATTTCCAAATGTCAATAGCAATATTATTAATATTAAGGGACTCATCTCGTTTACCTCACACGTTTTTCTATATTATTGCGAAAAACTTCTCGGAAATCGTGCTGCGAGCATGCTCCAGACTGAACCATTTTTAAAACTCGTTCAGATTTTAAAAATACATCGTGGTAACTTTGTACAGCGTTTTGAAAGGCTTCATCAGCCATTATCTGTGTTTCGCCCTTGAGAAAGGCCTGAAAAATAAAAAAAAATTAATTTTAAGTTACGCGGGACACACACATACAAATGCACGCATGCATAGGTACGCACGAGCAGCAGTGTGGGACTTAATTGGTTAATAACTTTTCTTGTTAACTATGTTAATAAAACTTTCAGACGTTAGGCCTTACAACTTCAGCAATAACAAGTAAGAAAACTCTAGTCGAGAGCGCTCGACTAGATACTACCCTGAACCCAACTAATAAAAATGCCCATTTACTATGGCTAAAATTTCAATTTCGATGTATTTAAAAGTATAAATGAAATTTAAAACTCAATAAAATATAAAAATATTTTGAACCAATTAAAAAAATTAACATAAGTTGCACCTCTCGAGATTCGAACCTGGGACGTCTCGATCGAGCGTCACGCAGCTACTCACTACGCCACCTCACTTTCGGAAGCTGTTTTGGCAAAACTGAAATAGATTCACTGCTGCAGCGCCATCTAGTAAAACTAAACCAAATTAACTGCTAATGTGATTCTAAGAATCTGCTAGAATAACCAAACTTTTAAAAACGCACATTTAGAAATGGTTAAAATTTCAATTTCGGTGTATTTAAAAATATAAATTAAATAGAAAACTCATTTATGAAAATATAAAAATATTTTGAAACAATTAAAAAAATTAACACCAGTTGCACCCCGATCGGGATTCGAACCGCGATTTCTCGATTGAGCTTCATCCCCTAACACACTACGCCACCTCACTTTTGGACGCTGCGCTGGCAAAACTCAAATAGATTCACTGCTGTAGCGCCATCTACCAAAACTAAACCAAACTAACAGCTGATGTGATTCAAAGAATGTTCTAGAAGAAGTTTGAATGTATGTGTGCACACGTATACAAAACTGTTGTAGCTGCTGCACGTGTGTTTGTTAATTGGCCAAATATTTGATGATTTTTAATTAATTTTTGACTTAATGGAATTTAATGAAACTTGCAGCATATGATCTACATATTATACTGAATATTTGGGAAATTTAAAAAAATTAAAAATCATTCACAATTAGCTGTAGTGGCATCTGACTTGAACTTGAACGTTTTTATTCGATAAAAAAACACACCGGGATGATTTATCGAATTTTAAAAGCAAACTCGACATCCGCGCTGTATATACGGTCATTTAAAAAAAATTGAAGTCTCTAGCTATTATATCTTCGGAAATCGACGCGTTCAAACATACGGACAGACGGAGAGGGCCAAATCAACTCAGCTCATCGCCCTGATCAAGAATATATATACTTTGTGGGGTCTGCCACGCCTCCTTCTCCCTGTTACATACATTTCAACAAAACCATTATACCCTTATTTCCCATTGAAAATGGGTTCAGGGTATAAAAATATGTAAGAGACAAAAGCTGAGCCGTACAAGATAAGAGTAATCAATAGACCATTGCTGAGCGTAATAACTTAAACATTCATGAACATTCTGCGGGAGGCCAGAGGAACTAATAGCTAACAATTACTGTCTCTGGTTTCTCCTCTTAATTATATACAAGACAAATAGATAAGTAATAAGTATTACTAGTCCCAACGAAATATGTCCATTCATTGTGTGGAAGTCGAGATCCTCAATATGTATTTTTTACTTATGTTCGACATCCAGATAAACCGAGTATGCCACCATTACCTTGGTCATTTGCTCAGGAACGGTTCCCATGTTGGCCTGGGAAGTCTAGAGAAGTAGAGCATCTTTAAAGAACTTTCGCCGCTTGTAGGTGTCGTCAATTGTTTAATTAATATCTCTGATCTCTGATAGTCGTATCTTTCACTGCTGCCGATATCCTTATTTTAACTAGCTATTGTTTCGCTTGTAGTGGTTAAGGTAGTTTCGTAAAATATGTTGCTGTATTATCTTGTTCTGTAGTTTTAGTTATATTTCCTTCCATATGTGGGCTTTCCAGCGGGTTGAAATCCCACTTTCGTGGGTTGGCTCCAGCTTCTGCGTGAAAACCATTTCATCCAGTGACGTTTTCGGGCGCCTTTCCAAGTTAGAGAGTTGGTCTGTGTCTATGGCGTGGTCGTCAACTTCGACTTTCATGGCCTCTTTAAAGGTCCAGATTTCTGCCATTATGTCATCATATATTTTCTCTGTAAAATATTGATGGTTGACGACACCAAGTTGTTGTTCGTTGTTTCTGTTATAGATCCATTGGCTTAACCCGTTGGATATGTTTCTGTTTTAATCACCATGTCGATTTTGCTGCGCCTCTACTCACAGCTTGAGTTGGTAAGCCAATGCACAAATCTATAACACTTTAGCTCTTAATTTGTTACTAATCACAAACATTTCGCCTTGTGTTTCGGATTGAAGTATTTTAAATATACTTCATCCGGCTCGAATGACCATGAACGAATGCACTGCACTATGATGGTGTTTAGTTGCGTATTCTTGACGAAAAAAACAAGCTTGCAATCGTTATGGTCTTATGCGTGTATTGCTGAGTGTGTAAGGCTCAGCATTGGCAAATTACATATTTTCATTTTATCAATTTTATCAATATTCAATACATACGGACGGATGGACGGTAGACGGACAAGACTAAATCGACTCAGCTCGTCGTCCTGATTAAGAATATATGTACTTTGTGGGGTCTGCCTGTTACATACATTTCAACAATACCATTATACCCTAATTTTCCATTTTCAATGAGTATTAGCACGGTTAAAACCCCAGTGTCTATGTTCGCTATTATAGCGTATTTGGTAAAGTATTGGCCTTATACGGCTGTTGTGATAGTTAGCTTCTAAGTTAATATAATTTATCCTACTAGGGCAGCTGGGGTCGTTTGAACATTTATTCTAATTCCCTAGCATCTTTAGTGTTCTTTTTATACCCTGAACCGATTTTCAATGGGAAATCAGGGTATAATGGTTTTGTTGAAATGTATGTAACAGGCAGAAGGAGGCGTGGCAGACCCCACAAATATTCTTGATCAGGGTGACGAGCTGAGTTGATTTGGCCCTGTCCGTCTGTCTGTCCGTCCGTCTGTCCGTATGTATGAACGCGTCGATTTCAGAAGATATAAGAGCTAGAGACTTCAAATTTTTTTTTAAATGTCCGTAATTACAGCGCGGATATCAAGTTTATCATTAAAAATCGATAACTCATCGATAAAAAACCTTATCGAAAATCAGTTCTAAAAATATAGCTTCTACACCTTTATTGCTAGAGTCTCCAAATTTTTAATGTATGCTTATATGCAATTTATACAATTTCGGTTTTTGTTAAAATTTATCCCCACCCCTATATTCACCCCCTCACCCCCATGTTTGTAAAAAGCGTATTCGAAATACTAGAGACTTGTGCTTTTGCAAATACATGCATTTCCATGTTATAATTATAATCTGAAAGTTTCATGAAGATCGTATGTTATTAAACAATTAAGTTCTCATAGTAGTCTGTGTGTGTGTGTATGTATGCCTGTGTGTGCGTGCGTGCGTGTGTGTGTGTGTGTGTATGTGTGCGTGTTTCTTGTGTAAGCTGAAAGACGCGAAAAATTATTTAAATAGCAATTTCTCGAAGGGTTCAGGGAATCTCGTAGTCGAGCAGTCTCGACTAGAGCTTTCTTACTTGTTGTTTTTGTTGTTATTGGTGATGAATAATTTCAGTGTATTATAATAATATAGCCGACTTTTATTTATTTTTTCGCAAAGAAAATTTTCACTTCTGCTTTTGACAAGCACTTTTCGACAACTGAGGGTGTATTATTATTACATAATAAATGTTTCAATTATCTATACCCTGAACTCATGAAAAACCAGACCTTAATGGGTTGGTTTTTATACTACAAATTTAAGTACAATTTTAGAATAAAATATCTTTTTGCATTATGACGAATATAAATACATTATTATGTAAATAGTTTTAATGTCATTTAAAAGTTACCTGAAATCTTTGTGTGATTATCTCTAATTGCTGTTTGGTTATTTTCGGTTGCCTTTTCGTCATATCCGTGGGTTGTTTTGCATTAAACGGGTATGATATGCATCTGGATATAAACACATACAGCTGAATGCGTCGCTTACGTTCCTCTTCCTCGCGCTCGTGCTTTTCCTGTACAAAATATTAGATAAAATTAGAATCCTAAGCCGATTTGATCTAAGAATAATTAGAAGATGATTTTTTGTTAGGAATGCAACTTACATGCGGATCACCATGGTCATGCTTATCGCTGGCAACTGATGGGGATGGAGAAAGTGGGCGTGGTAGAGAATTCGCACGCGATGATCCACCAACACTTTGATTAAGAGTCTCTTGCGAAATGCCACTAGACGACGATAGCAACGATTGATTATTATTACTTTTATGCGTGTTTACCTTTTGAAATGATCGGTCAATGTTCGAGCAACTTTTGTTGATTTTGCTGCTGTTATTGCTGTTGTTGTTGGTGTTTGTGCTGGTGCTTAAAAGGTGCGCAGAAGCTTTAATTCTTGATAGATTACAAGCACCAGCAACAGAAACAGAATTTTGGCCAAGGAAATTTGGATGCATGTATGATGAGAGTTCATTTTGATATTTATTATGATGATGCTGATAATCATAATGGTGTTGACTTTGCTGTTGATGATGATGATGAGCTGCCGGGCTTAATTTGTGTACTATAATCTTATGGCCTGGTCTCGCTCTATGCGCCCCAAAGTTATTATGCCAATTAGTCAACCGATGGTCGATATGGATGTTTTGTATATTTTTTGTTTTTTTTTTTTTTTTTTTATATGTATATATCAAGTATTAGTTGCCAATGAAGTCCCAAATGCAAATCATCCACTCAACAATGGTTGAATTTTTTATTTTTATTTGTGCCCATGTAATTATATGTAATTTGTGTTGACAAAGCATGTGCATGGGTTTTTTTTAGATTTTGATGAGCGCAGAACCAAAAAAAAAGTATATATGCATATATTAAAAAATGTTAGATTTGCATTAAAAATAAAAGAGATAATTTAAACCATATCATAATCATTACAATTATTAAATTGCCGAAAAATTATAATATTAATATTCATAGTACTTCGGGAATTTCGTAGAATAGTAAGTTTTCTCGTTAAAAAATTTGTCTCCAGAATGCTGATGAACAAACCCATATGTCAAATATACAACATATGTAAATTTCAGAAATTATCAGAAAACTAATCACTATTCATCGGAAAAAAAATGCATTTACACTATTCGTTCAATAAAGACGTATATACTTATAATTTCAAATTTTCAATTGTATAGCAGCGCCAGATAACGGGTTTAAAGGTGCGTAACTATGTCTATTTTACAGGCGAATTATTGTTGAGCATTTCTTGTGCATTTTACTTTCAATTTCGTTCCTCCTCGCACGCCCAGGTGCATATTACTGAATCGCACCCTACTGCACTGCTCTATCTTATTTAAACATTTAAAAATATATCAATTATGATATTATGCTGATACAAACCTTGGAATTCCATTATTGGGTACCTCAAGACTGCTTCCATCTATTCCAGGTTGGGGTTGATCATTTTTTGACTGCATTGCTCCCCCTCCAACTCCTCCTCCTCCGCCACCGCCTCCATTTGTGCCGTCAACGCGAGAATTGCCAGCAGTAAAACTTGATGGTCTTTGATTGACTGGACAGTCACCATTCTGGAAATTATTTGGTCCAGATGTTGAAGTTATGGCCGGTTGGCTCGGCGCAGAAGCCCCAGCAACGGGGGTGACTGTTTTATGTGTAGCTCCAATACGGCCTTTATTGGGTAAGCTGACAACGGGTTCTTCATCTCCCTCTTCTTCGCTTGAGCTTGGGTCTATCATGGCCAGTTAGGGAGCGTTCCTCAGTTAAACCTTTTTAAATAGGGACCTATAAAAAAGTTAATCACGAATATAAAGCTATACATATGTATGTACATATTTTGGAACGAGCTCTATGGACACGCAAATCCATCCAGGATACCCGAATTTACATTATTCACATTATTAAGACATTATAAAAAAAAAAAAGAAAACAAAACAAAATATGTAAGTGATCTGGTCGGAAGTGTTCGGTTAACTAATACCCAGCCCAAAAGCCTATTTTAATAGTTTTACGCCACTTGTATACACATATACATACATATGTACATATGTATGTACGCAATTATAAGCAAGCTAACCGCTTACTGCGCAGATTATGCAGCGGCCACATTCACAGTTAGGTAAATATTATTCGTATTAAAGATACTATGTTAATGAAAAAACAAAATATACATAAATTAATATATGCAACAGTTTATCGACAATGGAAAATATGGGTTGAATTTTCGCATATGCATATACATACATATATTCAATTTACAGTGAACAAAAAGGGCATTAGTACACTTGAAGATCTGTATGCTGTTAAATTTTTTTTGTTTTTGTTTTTTTTAATTTCTGTTTACTTGCATAGAATTAAAATATAAACATTGGTATAAATTTACACATACATGTATGTACATACATTTGCACAAAAACATAAAGTCCGAAAGTCACATTTTTAATTGGGTTTCGGGTATAAAATATTCCTCTTAATGCTAAACAGCAATCATGGCATATTTAAATATGTATCTAAAGTACATGCAATGCATATAACGTGAGCTCCGTCATGTGGGTTTGTTATTTGGGCTCGTTAAAAAACATGTTTACCATGTATATACATACATACATATCTACATATATGACAGGGAGTTGAATACATTGAGAGAATGAGATGGTTACACAAAGTCTAAACCTCATCCCACCTTGAACCAGTTTTAGCCATGTGTTACTAATAAGGGTGGAAAGCGTAAGAGAGCTTGGGGACTGATGATTCACCAACGGTTTATATGAATCAATGGGAAACACACATGCTACTGATAAATCTGTTTTTTTTTTTTTTTTTTTTTTTTTTTTTTTATAAATGAACACTAAACAATCTTATTAAACAAAAGCGGATATTAGAATATGTAACAAAAATCAGTTTATACATTATACATTACATATATATATATATATATATATATATATATATATATATATATATATACGTATACACATTTGGGTCAGTTTTCCTGTACGGTAACTTAGAACACAATTGAATTTTACAAATTATATATATTATGCACTTACAATTTTTAAAATAACTGCTTTAATTAAGGCATAGCTTTAAACCTAGTTTACTTTTGATTTTTATTAAAGTCGCACAGCCCCTAAAAAAGATTCAAAGGTTTGGGGTGGTTTTTATCGATGTTGCCAACAGTAATGTGCAAATTACAAAACATGGTTGCCTAATCCTATTCGCTTTGAATTTTTAAAAACATTTTTCTTAGCTACTATACGAGCTTAAAAGTTATTGGTAAAGGATTAAGCATGTTTTAGAAGTGAACGTTAAAAACTTTTAAGCATTTTCTCGATTGCTTACGCTGAGTATTCTTAATATTAACTGTCACTATCGAGCTATCGATATATAAGTTCTTGATGAAATACATCTGCATTTACTTCAGAAAGCACAATTCAAGAAATGTCGAAAGATACGGTTGTAATATCGTAATTGGTACTGTTTTTCAAATTTGCCTGTTTTTTTTTTTTTTCTTTATTTATTTATTTTTTTGTTTAATTTTACAATATATGTTATTGTACCTAGATTAACGATGAGTACTGACGATTAATATGGCCAATCAAAGTGGTGGCAACGCTAGAATCGTGAGTGAAAATCTGAGTGTTTCCCTTCGGCCACACCGTTTCCTATTATTGACATTTTATAATAAATGTTTTGAGTTTGCATTGTATTAAATTGTAAATGTTCAAAGAATTATAGATTACGTTAAAAAAATTCATGTGTATGGGATATATGTATATCCTGTAATATTCAGCGAGAGATTCACTGACATACATATTTATATATGTATGTATTTGCTTCTGCATGTATGCGCTCATTCCATATGTATGTATGTATTCCAGTTTGGGCACTTTACGGAAATATGTACACATATACATATATCGATGTTGATTTGACGATATATCGATACATATACACGCAAGTAAAAATTGGTATTGTTTTATTGTAAGCAGAAGTTGCATTCGTACGTATGTTCGTACTCAGTGACATTTGTTTCAGATGCCGCTGTGGGTAAGTTTAGAACAAAAATGCATATTTAAATGCTGAAAGTTCTTTTAAAATCAGCAGTAATACTTAAGAACAATGCAAATTTACCAATTATTTAATAATGCTGACCACAATGAATAATAGGCGCAGTAACCGTAGAAGCAGCAGCAACAAAGTATCACTAAGCACGCACAGAGTTTTATTATTGTTGGATGTGGGAACAAAGTGAGTGTCAGAATAACTTAACTGTAACAAAGAGAAGTAAAAGCCTAGAAGAGTGCTCATTTCAAAGCAAAGACCAGAATTCGCTTAAAAATGTGTTTAGTTTTAATATTTTAAGCGGTCTTTGCGGACGGCAAATCAATAGAGACTCGGACCCTCAAGAGAATCAGAATTGTCTGGAAATTCTCCCTGGGTTGTCAAGTAGAAAGGACGCTGCCAGCTCATCTAAGAGGTTCCCTACGGATATTCCTTTAAAATACCCTCCAAAAGGCCAGTTATTGAGTAGATCGCATATTTCAACTGCGGATAATTATCGCAACTATCGCAATCCACGGACTGCATACAGATCTGTTCTTTGTTCATCTCAGACACCAACGTTAACCGAATTTACAATTGATAAAAATAATCAAAATTTTAGAATTTACCTCAACAAAGAAAAACAAGAAGAACAATTGGAAAACCGGCGTCATAAATTGACTAGAGCTTCCCAGAGTGACGATAGGGAATATGCTAGCCATTTATCTGTGACACGATCCACAAAACCGCTGAAAAATCAGACTCAGATTCAAACTAATGCCATAAAGAAGTGCATTTGGCCACGAAACATTGGTTGGTCATCGCCGTTGGAAATCAATTTCTTTTGTTTAACAACGCCATCGGTACTAATTGATGTCATTACCAAACAAAAATCCTTGTTAGAGACTAATGCTACCAGACTACTGCACGAAAGAAATGGATGTTCGGAGCGAAAACATAAACAAAGGCAAAACTTATTATCATCAGATACAAAAAGTAAATCATATGAATCTGCACTAAATCTCGAAAGTACCGAGGATGTAGATCATAATAGCGACCGCTGCATTAATTTACCGTTAGACAAATCATATACAGCTCGCAGGCATCTAAAACGTCAAGCTTCAATTCAAAGCCAATCATCATCCATTGATGATTCTTCAACACATAGCGATCGGTATGGTACGGCATTTGAATCCCTGGAGGACATACCTTGTCACGACATTGAAAATACTTTAAGTCAAGGATACCAATCTCTTTCGCATTCGTTGCCAGCGAGCTCAGTTCATTCAGTAATGTCATTGTCATCATACAGATCGCAACAAGCGCAGCAACCGATTAATTCTACTGACTCCCAGAAAAACCTCGGACACCTATCACAAAAATTTCCTCCACCGGAAACAACAGCACTATGCTCCATGCTGCAACTCGGCTGCACTTTAAATAGTATTGATGTAAATAAAAGCCAACAATATGAATATAATGGCGAAGTAGTTGCTGAGGAATCAGCAACAGTTGAAACTGTAATCGATAACCAAGGGGTAAATTGTGAAAACAATAATAATAACACGCACAATAGTTTAAAAAGCTCGTTGGATTACTTCGATTATAATATACAGCTCAATAATAATATGGTTGGCACACAGCAACAGACTAAAAATAATTCTCAATTGTCGACAACGGACGCTATTCGAGATGCGAGCACCTTTACAGGTGACTTGGAGGCACCTGCCATTGATATACAAATCGGAAAGCCCGTCTCACCCGCAATGCTTACAATGACTATGTCACAAAGCCAGCCAGCCGACGGTAGGGTAGGGGGAAGTGCCAGCGTTCAAATGCATCCGAGTAGCTTATCACATCATTCCTGTATGGCAGTTCCATTCAATTTCAATAGTAGTTACGGATCGGATCGGATATTTCAGGATCGTAAACAACCAGCGAAACAACCGCGGATTCCACAAGAGCAGCTATGCAATTATATTGCCGATAGTTTGGGCCTCGATGCTTGTGGAGTCTCAAAATCTAGTAAAGGTATGAGCATTGCTTTTTCAACAATTTTCGAAACCCATACCCATATACATACACATTTCGAAAACCAAAAACACGGTACCAAATTGTATATTAGCGATTTCCTATTGAGTACATAAGTTTATTTGTATGTCCAAAGAGACATATGGCTTTAGCACTCTCAATCTTAATTTAAATTAATATTTGTAAATAACAGCATAAAAATGTACGGGAACTTTCCGAATAATATTAATATCCAATTCTCTTTACATTTGGTTATACATCTTAGCGAGTTCTCTGCCGAGCGCGATTGTCACACCGAAAGTGGAATCGTCGCCAATATCGCCACGAAAAGATATATCTCTAAATGCAGCAACTGTTGACTCACTAGCTTTGGTATCGCAGCATCAGAGGTCTGTTGTACCATCGGCCAACGAACATTTCACTTTTCATGAACAAATCACAATGTCGGGTCAGCAGAAGAGCGCACTCCAGGACAAGCCAAAGCCTTTGGTTGTATCGCCGCAGCAAGTTATGATCCTATATATGCATAAGCTAACGCCATATGAACGGGCCGAAATCTTAGCCTATCCGCAGATATATTTTATTGGCGCCAACGCGAAAAAACGCCCGGGTATTTATGGACCAAACAATTCAGATTATGACAATGAACAGGGCGCATATATACATATTCCTCATGATCACGTTGCCTATCGCTATGAAATGTTGAAAATAATCGGCAAAGGTAGCTTTGGTCAAGTAATTAAAGCCTACGATCATAAGACCCATGAGCATGTGGCATTAAAAATAGTGCGAAACGAGAAGCGTTTTCACCGTCAGGCTCAAGAAGAGATTCGTATATTACATCATTTAAGACGCCACGACATGTACAACACAATGAATATTATACATATGTATGATTATTTTTCCTTTCGGAATCACACATGCATCACATTCGAGTTGCTGAGCATTAATCTTTATGAATTGATTAAAAAAAATGGATTTAAGGGTTTCAGTTTGCAATTGGTGCGTAAATTTGCTCACTCTCTACTCCAATGCCTGGATGCACTTTACAAGAATGAGATTATTCATTGTGATATGAAGCCGGAGAATGTGTTACTGAAGCAACAAGGTCGTTCTGGTATTAAGGTAAAAAGTAAACTATTTTCCTTCGCTTTGCGATCAATATATGTTGATTATTTTATAGGTTATCGACTTTGGATCATCATGCTTTGAAAGTCAACGTGTTTACACGTACATACAGTCAAGATTTTATCGCGCGCCAGAAGTAATTTTGGGCGCAAAGTATGGTAGAGCGATTGATATGTGGTCTCTTGGTTGCATTCTTGCGGAGCTACTATCGGGGCATGCACTATTCCCTGGAGAAAATGAAAGTGATCAGTTGGCCTGTATTATAGAAGTGCTTGGAATGCCAAGCAAAACGTTATTGGCAAACGCAAAACGAACGAAGACGTTCTTTAGTCCAAAGGGGTATCCCCGTTACTGTACTGTCCGCACTATGCCCGATGGAATGGTCGTTTTAGTTGGTGGTCAATCACGACGTGGCAAACCACGTGGTCCACCGTGCTCTAAGAGCCTGTCCAAGGCATTGGACGGTTGCAAAGACCCGCTTTTTCTAAACTTTATTCGTGGCTGTTTGGAATGGGATACAGAAAAGAGATTAACACCTTCTGAAGCCCTAAAGCATCCATGGTTGCGTCGTCGTTTGCCTAGACCACCAAGCAGCACCAGCGGCGGGGCGGGAGATGGATCCAGTAGCGCTGGGGGCGGACACGCTGGAGGAAGTGGTGGTGGTATTAGTGGTGACCAATCACCAGTGACAGGTAAATCTTGAAAATTACGCTTACTGTAGTTATTGTTGTGCCTTTCATATAACATTAAATTAATGCATTCAACAGTGGAATTACGCCCATTCTAGTTTAATCCAATCCAAATTTGCGGGATGTTAATCGTTAACTTTTTACTTTCTTTAAGGCATAAAACCGAGCTGTTGTAATGAAACTGTGTCAACAGAAGAATCAGCCGCCTCTGAAAGAGACAATAGCAATTGCAGTGGCCGAGCTAATCATGTTGGATTTGGTATTCCTGATTTCAAATATGGCAGCAACCATCTTTCTGTTTCAGCATCATCACCAGTTAAGGATACGGCATTGCCTGTTGATCTATTGACCGATATTATAAGCAAAACGAGCGTAAAATGTTCGGAATTACCTTCAGATGACACATT